TCCTTAAGCCAGATTTTTTTCAGGATTCACATCCTTCGTTGATTAAATTTTGTATTTAATTGTATCTACACTTTAAACTCCATCTTTTTTGTTTAAATTCCATCTTTTTGATAACTCAGACACTTTACACTCGAACAAGGTTCTTTGGGGAAAAGTCTTGTAAGATACTAACCGTTAAGAGGGAAAAACTATAAATCCAAATCAACACTTTCGCTGTAGAACTGCGAGTGGTCGCTGGACCGAGATGCGCTAATATTTATACCATTCAGGCGACCCTCAGTCGGTTTAGATATTTTCCAACACACACGCGAGGAGATCTCTCGGGCAAACACACACAATACACGAATGTGCACATGGATGCACATTGCCCGCCGTTGGGGGGAAAATTCGGAATTTCTTTTAAAAATAATTTGTTTGCTTTTGGATTTTTGTTTTTGGACTTCTGCTCGCTTCGTTCATAATTTCCGAGATGGTCCACAGAAAGAAAGTCTGAGGAGAAAATTAAATTTATTTAAATTCATATTAGAATTTTATGTTGAGGATTATTAAATAAATAAAATTTTATAAGAATATTCTGGATATTTAATGATTCAATTGAATAAATATTACTAAGCCCTAAGAAGATGCCACTATTAATTACCACTTGCTTCTATTTTATTGTAATTATTCAAATATAAGAATAAATTCGAAGTACATAAGGTATTCAAAAGATAGTTCTCAGTGTTTTTTGACGCTGAGAAACAGACGCTGCTGAGCGCCAGGGTAAACATCAGCGAGATTGCTCACCCACAGATACAGCGACATGTGGATATATCCTCCGGATCGGAGCATCCCCATCGTAGGCGTAGCATTCGCTCTCCATCTGTCTCTGTATCTGTATCTTTATCTGCAGCTGTGGCTGCGACTGTGTCTGTATCCGTATCTGTAGCTGTATCGGTGCCATGTTGCTTTTTTGTTTTGTCTAATTTTTAATCAACATTTGCACGTTGGTCCAATCCATACATGGTTGGGATGGAAATCTCTCGGCGCTGATGAGAACGCACTCGCAATTAGAAATAAGAATTTCAAAACAAAACCAAAACTATATACCGCAGCGCATTCTCCTCTCGGCCATAATTTGCTGGGTGTGGGCCGCTTTCCTGGGTGGGTGTGCGCAGAGCCATTGGCTGGTTAGGGATTCAAAAGCCATAAACGCAAACCGAAAATTGTTAATAGAGCGCGCGGTGCATTTATAGATTTGCCAGATTGTCGGTCGGCCAAAATGAAATCAATTAAATATGCCACAAACTATTGCTTTTCGTTTTTCTTTTGGCACATTAATCACGAACGAGATCATTAAAAAGCATTCAGTTAATGATCAAAACTCTTAATTGACTTATATGGTGCTATGGGAATTTTTAAAAATAATAACAAAAACGAAAACATTCGCTGTTGTTTACACAATTCTCACAGAAAAGATATTTCCAAGAGAGTGCGTGAGTGGGTGGGCGGAAAAATCGTAGGGAAAAGCTAAAATAAATAAAATGAAAACCGTGCGCTCTCACGTTTTTGCAAGAGATTCTTTGACGCTTACGCGCAGAAACGTATCTAGAGTATGGAATTCTATTTTTAATAGAGAACTCACGAAATTCATATATATATTTAAATTTAGATAAATATGCGATTGGCCAGTTATCGCAGGTGAGGAAAAGAGCATTTCTAAATAGGGCTAATTGAGATGCCCTGCTAAAAAAATTAATATAAATGTATAAGATAACATTTAAGGCAACCTAAAGAAAGGGTTTATGTATTATATATAAAATAATTGTTCATTTAAATACAAACATTACACATTTTTTACTTTATCTATCAAGGCTGAAACTGGACCAAAATTTCCTCCAGTTTTCTTCTTTAACCTAAAATACATTCAACATTCAAAAGATGACGCTCTCTAAGACCTCTTAGTATCCAATAAATTATTTATAATGTCCCCCAAATATATACATATGCGGTCGTTCATTCACTCTATTTTCGCCACTATCAGCTGAGTAATCGGCAAACATTTTCACAACGCCTTGTTGGGTGCCATTCATTCAGCAGTCAGTCTACCACAACGCTTCTGCTGGTCTCTCGGCAACAATATAGAAATACAACGAGTGCTGCTTATACATATGTATGTTATCGCCTGTGTATTTCGGACATTTCTTTTCGGCCCACATTAGCTGGCCAGCAGCTGATTGAATTGTGTTGGCCGGCAGCAAGAAAAATCTGCCAATTTGATGATACTGCAACAAATGTGCTGCCCGAAAATATTATTTATAAAATATTTACATATACGCGAGCCACTAGATTCTGTTTGGGGGCAGAGGAGCCGCCAGAAGCGGAGGCACCAGTCAGGCACTACCAGGCCAGGCCAGAGCGGAGGAGCAGCGCCGGGCGCAGGCCTGGTCGGAGCATTGGGCCGCGCCACCACCACCTTTTAAGGATGCGCCAAGCGACGGAGGCGAATGCCGACGACAGCTTGACGTTGGCGGCGTGCGCGCCTGTTCGCTTCCCTGACAAGCAGCCGCAGTCGCAGCGCCAGCAGCCGGTGCCATAATGAGTTCGGATACGGATTTTGAGTACTAGACACTGAGAGTCACGTTATGGATATTTTTCCCTTTTTTAAATATATTTATTATATATGTTATGTTATACCATGTTTAAATATCAGTAATAAAGTGTAAAAGCTTGTAAAATATTTGGCATTTTAATAATATTTTTAAGAATTTTCAGAGGTTAAATTAAAGATTAACTTGTTGTATAAATATGTTAAATATTTTTTCCCTGTGCAGCTGCGACGTAGACTGCATTCCACGGTGTATTGCAATCTGTATTTTTAAATCAAATATTGTGCCAAGAAATATTAATATATATAAAGCATATATTTATGAATATGCTGAAGCTGAATTTCGACATATTTAGTATTTAATTTGTATTTAATGAATTTTATTTAATTTGTGTGTTGAGTATATTTTCAAAGAAATCATTAAAAAAACATGGAACCTATAGAATAGAAAACATTCATGAGTAAACTTTAGTGGTAAGTACAATTTACTGCAGCATTGTAAACATAAATATTTATTAAAAAGATTGATTTATGGGCCTTCCTTTCAGATTTAGCTCCCGAATTCCACGAAACCTAAATTCAATTCTTGTTTTATATAAGTTTTTGTTTGTCTCAATTTTGAATATTATTTATTACATATTTTGTAAAGCATAATGATTAAGCTAACATTCTAATCAAAGAGTTTACTACTTGGCGTTAAACTTTATTTAAATTCCACGAAATCCAAATGTCGAATATAAATTATTGATTTCATATATAGTTTTTCTATGATTATTGGCTGACTTTTAAATCCTAAGGCTTAAAGGTTGTGCCCGAATTCCTATTATTTAGAAACTATATGATTTCGCATTCATTATTTTTTAATGTAGACATTTCGTTGGGTTTTAACAAAGGTTATCAGTTCGCACTTGAAAAAAACCAATTTAAATTGTAATCATCAAAGCAACGGCAAAGCTATATAAAGCGATCACAGTGTATGGTTCGTCAGCAGAGTTTCGGTGACCCGCTTGGTGTTAACTTACATATTTTAATATTTAAAATATTTTAAAAGTCTTTAATCCTGTATCCAAGTACAATGAAGGTAACTAACCTTTTCTTACCGAACCTTAATATTTTAAAATCTTTATTCCATCTTGCACTTTTCCATAGGTTTCGATATTTCTCTTGGTATGTGTCCTCATCGGCTGCTTCATTGTTTCGACCTCAGCAGGAGCACTACGGGAGTGCGAACGTCTAGAAGGAACCTTACATCCACAGCGTTGCAATTATTCTTCTGCCTTCACTGAATGCACGCCTAAATGCCAGAAAATAAACTTCTCGAGTGGATTTTGCTTAGATGAGCTTTGCTGTTGCTTTAAATCCCCGTGGATTTAAATTGCTTTCTAGTAACTACCAAAAGTGGGAATAAATATACAAATCTTACAAGTACCTATATATATATTTTATTTTCTTATATTTTCGAGAAAAAGTATTTTCTTTAATATGTAATATTTTATATTTATTATTTATTTAATCAACCATTAAGCTTGTTATGCGTTCTTAATTTGATATTCCTTTTTCTAGCTATTCTTTTCTTGTTAATTCTTCTCATTTTTTGTCGATGGACATACACTACATAGCACCACTCCAGGCCAAAGACACAACTGGCCATTAGCAAAAGCCCAGAGGAAAAGGCAATGGCGCCACGAAACTGGTCAAAGGTTAAAGCCTTGAAGGGATCCTCCCGCACCCGATTGATCTCCTCGTGGATCATGCGACGCATGTCCAGGTCCCGGGCCCACTTTTGCATGTGTCCCGACTCGATAATGTGTTGGATCACCGGGTTGATCTGATGCAGGAGATGGTACTTTTTCGGCAGCAGCATCGTCACGAGGTACACATACAGGGACTCGTGTCGATCGAAGCAGTAGAGCCTGTCCCGCTGGATGCGTGGGTTGTAAAAAGAGTGCTGACGGGATACAGCCACGGCAATGTGTTCATTATGGGCGGCTTTGTTGAGGCACTCCACCAAGTTGTAGCACATTTGAAACTTTTCGCGGATATACTTGAAGATCTGGAATGGGGACACATAAATCGTAGAAGGAAAGAGGTATTTTTCATAATAATTACTCACCTCCCCATCTTTGTTAAGGTGGCGAACATTATCGGAGGTTCCCATAATGGTCATGCGATTGCTGTAAATCTCCTCGAGCGTCTTAATCTGATGGGAACTGCGCGGAGTGGTCAGTGTGCTAATCAAGAAACTCTGGTACGTATTGCTAAAGAAGAAACCCATTAGGAAGGAGAGAGCAAACAGTTGCCTCAGTGTCAGGGGGAAATCCTGAACGGGAATGGCCTGATTAAGCAAGATTCCCAGAACCCTCAGGCAAATTGGGAAGTAACCGCTGAGATTACGAAGCCGGAAACCGGAAACGCGCTGGGCCACCAGGACCACCAGCGAGCAAGTGACCACAAATAGTCCAATCAAGAATCCTGCATCCGCATTAAAGGTGGCCACAAAGTTGAAGAATCCATGCCTGCGCTTAGCCTTGGCCACGCACCAGGTGAGATCGTCCTGGTGATAGGGTATGGAACTGGATACGAACTGGCTGATGCTCGGATCCTCGTCTATGCCGCCCACAATCATCTCGATTTCCCTGCGGCCATAAAGCTTGTCTTGGCAATAAAGTAATATATAAAATATTAACAATGCTCACCCGTCGATTAGTTGCTGAAAAAGGTGATACAAGTTGCCGTTTTCGCCCTGCATTTCTATGTTCACGTGCAGTCTCTCGGCAATGGTCTGCACCATTTGGAACTCGATGCCACTCAGTTTGATCTTTGCACTCGTCTCAGTCTTGGTGTCCACGGCATCGTACTCTGCCTCGGAATTCCCATAGCTATCGTCCTCTGACTCGCCATAGCTAGATGTCTCATTGTAGTCATATTCATCCCCTCGCAGGCCGTAGTAGTAATCCTCCGCCGGCTCATCTTCAGTGTTACGAAAAATATACGGCTCCCAAGGACGAAAAGCGGCTGTTAGGGGACAACCACTGAGATCTTTGGGGAATTTATCCTCAAACTTGGCGCGATAGAACTCCTCGATGATGGCTTCTGGCTCTGACGAATTGGATTTGAATATTTTGACATGGCTGTCATCATCTGTGTCATTCTGAGCAGATTGGTCTGTTGTGTTTTCAATGTTGACCTCAGTGGTACTAACTACCTCAGGGTCAGCTTCAGTAGTAGTCTCTATTTGTTCACTGTTGGTTACTTCACTGGGAGCTTCAGTAACGTTTTCACTGCTGTCACTAAAGGATTGATATCGTTGAAATATATCTGTATTTTTATAATCTTCTTGATTCTGGGAATCTGCATCTTCAGCTTCTTCGCTTGGAGATGGAATATCATTATTATTATTATCATTTTCATCTTCTTCTTCATTATCAACAATATCATAAGTAACTTCCTTGCTTTTAACTTCATTTACTTTATCATTTTCATTAATAGTTTCTTCACTTTCTCTTTTCTGTTCATCCCTCTCATCATTGCCTTCACCACTTTCATAATCATTTGATGGTTGCTCTTGACTTTGCTCTGTACTTTCCGTTTTATTTGTATTTACTTCCTCTTCAGGGCCTTCCTGGTCTCCGCCTTCCTCCTCTTCACCCTCTTCGTAATCTTCATCCTCTTTCTCTCCTTCCTGTTTGTCATCACCTGTATAATCACAGGCATCCAGTAATTCCACAGATATCACTCGATTTCCACAATTATTATCCGGATGATAGGGAAACACACTTTTACCATAGAAGAACTCGTTCTCCTCGCTCTGCCCAATCACATTCACATTGAAGATCTTCTTGTTCATGAAAGTAAGAAGCACCTCCACCATCAGATCAGTCATCTCCTCGTCCGTTTCCTCCATGGCGGCCAGATAGACCACAAACTGGGCTAAAGGATTCCAGTTGATCATGCTCTTCCAGTGCTCAAACAGCTCGTCGAGGTCCTCGTCATCGAGGTTCTCCACTATAAGGAAATAACACTGCGGCTTCTCGGGCATCAGGAACTCACCGGAGTTAGCAACCTCCCGGGAATTGGTGACCAGGAGGGTCCAGGGATACTCCGCGTATGAATTAATTCCCCTCAGCAGCTGGTCCTGGATATTGTGCAGCTGATAGTTCCGCGTGAAGCACAGCACGGATCCTGAGAGGCCATCCCCAGAGTCAAAGTACTTGCGTAGCAGGGCCAGGATGCAGGCTACTTGGCCACGGTCCTCGCCCTGTACCTTCATCAGATTCAGCCCGAAGCCATGGGCCCCGGGTTCCAGCTGCAGTACGTGGAGCAGCAGCAGCAAGGTCGCCACAAAACGATACGCAGGTGTGGACATGCCGCAAGCGATTGAAGTAAACGTGGACCACGCCCCACGGACACGCCCCGGACCCATTGGGGCGGGAAACGCACTCGCCGCCCCTAGGGACAAGCCCCATTATTATTACTGCAATTATGTTAATTTTTCAATCTCTGGCCCGATATGGCCCCTCGTCTCGGAATATTTTCCCGCCCCATCATCGAGAGGTTTTGTTTGTTTAGGCCAGGTTTTTTATGGTCCCGTCATAAGCGCTGACGCTCCAATTGAATTGCGACAAGTCTTATCGGCAATCTCCCCAATCTGCCTCTTCCACGGCCCCATAACTCCAGTTGCTCCAGTTTAGTGTTAACACTTTGGCTATTTTTATGCTAAATTTGGTTCATACTAGAGCGTTTATGAGAGTTTTTGTGGTAAATACATATAGGTTATTGCCTTAATGAACTCACAATAGTTTGAGACTTCTTTGTATTTACTTTTATAAATCCATTTCTTCATTGATATTTAATTTTTCTTTTTATATGTGAACGTCTGATATCTGGATTCATCTTTTTATTAACTATTATTAAGTTTTCAAGAGTAAAGGCAGCACTCGCTGAAGCGAGACCATTTGTTCACATGGCCCGCTGGAGTTTTACCCATTTGACATTAAAACTGAAGCCACTGCGGCCAGCGGGGACAACAAGGCCTGACATTTTCAGCCCATAAATAACATCGTTCCGAATGTGAACGAGAAATAAGCAAATTGAATAAAGCGCGTGCGCCCAAAAAATACGAAAAAAAATCAAGAAAAATATTACCAAGCTGCTTGCAAACGAAAAATTTGTTGTTAGGCTGGTGATTTGGAATCTAGCAAGTTGCAAATCGGCCACATATTACATAAATGCACTCTTTTTTGCGATGTTTTATTGCGTAAATGGCACACTTCACATCTAGTAGTTGGAGTTGGGCTCTAAAGTTTTATTCGCCGAGAGCAACCACCATTAACACCTTGTAGGAACACATAAATTCTTCTTTTTAAATCCAATTAGTTAATCCGGGTCTAATTAAGATAGCATTGTTGCTGGTATTAAGGGTATTAGTTTGAAATCAATTGATTAATTTTCAAATCAGGCAATTATTCAAGTTTGATTTTGTTATTTTTATTTAGTTTGGAGGTAGAAATAAAGCCAGTTTGGGTTCTATGGTCATGAGCTACAAAATATGTTAAGTATGTTAGATATTCGAGATACATTAACCCGGCGAGTCATACGAAACGCTGATTGTTTTTGTTATGTCTGGGCTCTTGCTCTCTCTTTTATGTTCTTAAATATTTGAAATTGAATTATTGAACCGCAAAAAAAGGAACGAAAAATCACTTGATAAGTCGGTATGGTAATTTGTTAAAATATGTTTTTGCCGAAGCTCAAAAGAATTGACTTGCTTTTGTATACAGATTGTTGATTAATACAAATTAACAAATGTATTATTATTTTTATACTCTTTCGATTGTGAAAACTATTAATACGTTGTTATACAACCCAGTCTGTAATTTTAGTTAACTTAAAGTTTGGGTAATGAATTTATCACGAACTGGTTTAGCGACCTATTTAAAAATTATTCCTTCAACTTACCACCCAATCATGAGGCCATAATTTATGTTTATGCTGTGGGCAGCATAGAAACATATATTCAATGACTCACTTAAAAAAGGTATTCGGATTTCGTTATGCCAAAAGCATGCATTTCGGCCAATTTATTAGCTTGACGTTTGAAAACAAAGCCAGCATGCAGTGTCCAATGTACTCCGCTTTGGCCTCTGACCATATTCTACACAGAAACCAATAAAATATATAGTAAAATAATTATAAATTGGAAATTATATGATATAACAAGTACTTTTGATAACTCAAATACATTTTTTTTAATATTAAGGCACCAAAATCCTTGATAGGATAAACTTGATTTTTAAACGATAAATAAAATATATCAGTTTACATGAATAAATATCACTATATCGAATTAATTTTTTATCAATTAAATCTTTTTTTCCCTGTATATACAATCCCAGCTTCATTCGGATCGCTCCTTTTGTGAGCCAAAAACAATAAAAAAATATATTCTTTATAAAACTTACATTTTTTTGTGTGCACTATATCGGTCCAGTTAAGTCTGAATTACCTCGGATTGGCCACAGGCGTCAAAGTCAGAGTCAGTTGCAGCAGCCGCACTTTTGGCATGGTGCTGACCTTCGTCAAGAGAATAGAAATACTCATATCTGAATATTTGTTCGTGTATATGTATATATGATGGGGTAACTAGTGGCCGCATATACTCCCAGCTACGAGATTGATTTATTGAGCAAACCGTCGAATAATAATAACGCTCCGACCACACCAGAGCAGGCCGGTGAGTACTGGTGCTCGACTATCATTGGAGGATATTGATAATCCGGTGGTGGTATCCACAATCGACGGAAAACGAAAGTGAGCGCCACACAAAGTCAGTCAATAATACCATTGTGGCCATGCATATACATATATCTGTGTCTGTGGGAAACCGGCTGTTGGCACACCTTCTGCGGAGGTGGAGCCTTCAAGCCACATTGGCCTAATTGGTCTAATGGTCCGCATTTATGGAAAACCAAAAGGCAGGCACTTAAAGAGGGCCATTAAAAGCGCTTAAAACCGAGTGCTGCGATCGCGATATTAGTTGATTAAGATCCGGCACTTAGAATGTCTTAAGCAAAAGGGTCCGCCAAAGCCTCAAAAATGCCCGAAATGTTTACAAAAAATGTTCAGCGAATTTGTCAAGACCTTGTCGCGCTGACAGTGCCGGTAATGAAACTGTCAACAGGCGACAAGAGTTCGCCTCCGCCGTTTGGATTGATTTAATTAAACTCACATTTGTGCGCGCAGAATGCGCAAATGAAGCAATTGCACGTCGACCACAAGTACCAAGACGATGACAAGGCATTCGGAGAATGCTAGCGGACTGGCTGTCCAGAAGGCCTCAATTCGAGGCATATTTAGAGTTCATTTCGTAATGGTCGCAATAAGGGGAGATATGTGATTATAGCCTTAAGATACATAGGGGAAAAAATTGCACAAAAATTTAAATTGTACACTTAGGGATGGAACTTGTTTCTGATTTGTGATATTTTGATTTATTCTAATAATTTCATGTTAAAAATGAGTTTTTTACTATATATACTATTCTTCAGAACTGGTTCTCTTCGATTAAATTGTTGGATAATATGATATAAATATTAAATACTTCCAGTTTTGTTTTTTACTATTTTTTTTTTTCGAACTATCATATTTCTCCCCGTGCACACTCCAGTGTCAGTGCAAGACGTTGCGGCTATTAATCTTCAAGTGTTGATCGTCACCGAGTCATATGGAGCGAGTGGCCGGCAGAAAGACCTGCCGCAGATTTTGTTTCCCCGCGGATTGGTTACTTTCGAAATGCCCAAGCCAAGCCAAGCTAATGAGCATCGGTCCAGGGCGTTGTTGTGAAAGGAAACACAGTTGTGTGCTGTGATAGTTGTGATAGTTTTGATAGCCGCGAGTCGCCCCGGGGCAGGCACAAAACACCTACGTTTCCGCCCGGCTCACATGTCGTAACATAGGACGCGGCCTGCTCCGATTACGTGATTATATCACACTATATTTACTCTACCATGTTGGCTGACATTGGCAGCACAGCCTTGAACTGGCGATCGACTTTAGAACCGGTACCACATAAGTGCTTATTTAGATCGTAACTCGGTATTAACTTTGGCCGCAGTAAGTATTCTCCGAAAAGCTGAACAACAAAAAGTCGTAATTAAGAAGAAAGAGTGCCAATAACAAAGTGAATGTCGCCATGTGGGGCTTGGCCCACCACGGGGGCAGTGAGCTTACATTTGCTAATTAGAGTAATCATCGGGTGATAATGCCGCAGCAGCACTCATCCACGCACAAATTCACCCCAAGTGGGATATTTGGTACTGCCTCCAAATATCCCACATGTGTCACAATGCAAAACAAATACCGAGGCAGTTAATGCTAACTTGGCTAATTCTGCCCGAAAACCAGTTTCGATCCGGCGTCAGCGGCTGCAGTCACCTTTTTTGCATAACCCCTTTTAAGTGGGGCTTTTCACGTTTTTTTTTTTTTTTTGGGTTAGCTAAGCAACGCCAGAGAACATTTTCGGTTTTTCAATTGGAGCCCCAAAAAATGTAAATCGCTCGGATTGCTTTCCATTTTCAATTGGGAGCAAACAAGTTGGTCCCTCAAAAGAGCCGGCTCCTCGGCCCGTGGGCTTTCACTGGCTGCGATATATTGGTCAAATGTAAATGGGTTCCTGGCCAGACCGACCAACCAACCAACCGACCGACCGACCATGTTATGAAACTCGAATCCAGTTCAGCCTCAGTGGAAATCCAGTCTGAGTAAGCTAGCAAAAAAGGCAATTAAAACTAAAGATAGTAAAGCAAATATGAATAATTATTATAATCAACAGAAGGCACTATATAAATCATAAGTTTGACATGGCAATTACTAAAATTTAAATGCCGTATATATTCTTAACATATTTGCAAAACAAATCTTATCAACAGGCCTTTGGAACAGGTTGTGGCATTTTAATTGCCCCGCTCCTGAGTACATTTAATTTATAACTGTCTGTTTACCTTAAATTCCGCCCCATCATCGGGTATCGCCCAGTACAATGGACTCTCCTCCATTGACAAAAACAGCCGCCCGATATAAATACCCAAATACCAATGAATACCCGAAAATGCGAAAATAAAATCAAGTGACTTATTTATTGGCATTGTTGCTGGCGACCCGATAGCGATAATGAACTTGTAAAGAGAGAAACCCCAACGCAATTGCCGCTTGTAAAAATAACAACTGAATTACAACAATTTGTGGGCCGCACTTGCCAGCAGCAGCAGCAGCAGCGTCATAATGCAAATGTGCGGAAGCCAACGGAGCGTATGAGCGATATAAGAGATGCAAGCCCCCCCAGCAAGGAGCCCCAGTCCCAGATGGAGTTTCAGACAACGCTTGTCTTAGACACACACGACACTCTTATAAAATTCGGTGCGCCTGGCTAACGGAGCGCAGTCGCAAAACGGCAATCGCAACGCTCAGACGTGTCGCGCGATCGGCTAGAAAGTGAATTTGTCTAGCAAACAGCAGCTGCAGCCACCGAAAGTGTATCACAACAGTAAGCTAATGCCAGATGAACAGCAGCAAATTGGCCTGCCTGCAACAACAAAAATACGAAGAAAAAAAACCGAGAAAAGAGAAAAAACAAAAGACTTAGGCAACGAACGCGGCACGTCGCGAAGTGCGGTTTCTAACGGTTAAAGTGCAAATTGCCATGCATTTAGTTATAATGCCAGCAGTTTCGATTTTTGGATCCACTTCAGTTTCGATTTCGAGGCGTTGCCAATGCCACTCTCACCGCCCGCCCGAATTTTTGATACCGTAAAAAAAAAAACATGTTAACATGCCCATCGGGTTAATTGGCAAATCAATAGCGATATTGCCATCGCAGCCAAGGGTACGCTACGCTTTGCGGTTGCACATTTCTGTGAATTATTAGCCAAATGCTCCGATCGCGTGTGTCAGTGTGTTTGTGTTGGCCAAAAGAAGCCGCTGAAGCCGGAGAACGGAACTGTGTTAATTAGGTTTAGTTGGCAAACGCATTTATTTCTGTTCGGTTTGGCATTGTTTTTGGTACCAATTAAAATCGATCGCAGCCAAAAAGTGCAGCCAACCACTCGACGTGACTTTTAATTTAGACGGGATTTATGGTCGCGACTCGCAAGTTTGGTATTCGGTTTTAAGGAAGCTGTGCGACGGTGACCTTTTCCGCTGCCTGCAAATAAATCACGAAATTTACAAGCAGGTGTTAATCAACCTTCGCCAAAATGCTTTCCGCTCAATTACGCAGCAGTTGGATGCTTTTATGAGAACTCCAAAAATAGCCAATTCAAATAATAATCATAATAATAGGATCGTTGAAATAGTACAACTCAATTGTGGAACATTTTTGGTCGCATTTTTTTTTTTAAGTACGTGAAACGCGTGAGAACACGCTGGCTGACAAGGTGCAAAACAGATTCAGATAAGGCAACACACACGATCAGTTGGATTCATGTTAGCCGCGTCATGTAGCAGCACTAGTATGTAGTACTAGTTAGTGCAACTGGGTTGAAGTTATTTTTCTTAATTGGCCTCCGGCGTCCGTCCATTCTGTTGCATCACATCCCAGCTGGCACTGGGCATATCTCAAAGGGACCTATTAATAAATGACCTGTCTAGATGTGGTCCACAATGTATAAATTTCTTTTGTTAACTCAATTGTCTCGCCAAGATTTGAGTCTGAAGTGTCTGCTGAAATATAAAGGAAATCAAGCCATTGTTGGGAAGTTATTCAGCAAAAGATTTATAGAAATAGTGAGGGCTAGTAATTGGGTTTTCCATGGTAAGGTTTATTATAATGAAGAAAGAATATGAGACTTATATTACAAAATATATTATCTTTGAATTTTATATACTTTGTAATATATAAAATGTTAGTTAGTAAGCTGAGAACATAAAAGGACTTGTACATCTACTTTGTTGAGATACTTCTTTTAGAAAGAATCTCTTTAAACTTTTAAAGATTTGTTTGCACAGTCTCTAAATCGGTTCTACAAAGTTTAATAAGCCAGAAACGAATTATGAATATAATCAGTGATCAAACCTGCCTTAAAAATAAAAAATCAAACCAAGACATGGCTGAAAAGGTTAACTTCAATACCGGTATTTAATAATTTTCCTGTGAGGTTTCTATCGTGCACCGGAGCCGTGTTCAGCATACGCTTTCGAACCGCTTCGTGCTCAAATTTAATATACAAATTAAACGAAAATTAAGCGAAATTTCAATGGCCTGCCATGGCCCATCAACATGAAAGGCTATCAAGCGAAATGCTAACATTACCGCAAACAAAACATGAAAGAAAACATAATAATAACATGATCACAAAAAAAAAAAAAGACAAGTGGCTTAGTGGGTTTGCGGCTTGTAACTTTGACTTGTAAACTTTTTTTAAATGGTTTTGTTCCGCTTGCCGCCCTTCGGGTCCGATACTTGTGACAAAAAGCCAGGCGGCTTTTCTTCGCTTCTTTTTTCTACTTTTTTTTAAAGCCCACTTTTCATTTATTTCGCTGGGAAACAGCTCGGGTTTCCGCTTGGCGTTGCACAAGTGTTATGTAAAGTGCAGAGATACGCAGAAATAAATCTCTCGGATGCGTGTGGCGCCGGGATCAGCCTTGACTTTTAACTCTTTTTTTTTTTACACAATCCATCAAATGCCAGTGTGCTGCCGGCAAGCTAGCTGGAAAATTACAAAAATTCAATTATCTTTAACTGCTTATAACGGCACGCGCCAATGAAAGTTTCATGCCATGTTTGTCTGCAATTGGCCAGGCCCAAACGAGTCTAGGAGTTTGGTAGCCACGAAAATATCAAATCGTAAAGAGTAATAGTATGTGATTTGAACGGAATTAAACACTACAGCCCACATTGGCCAAAAAATGTCCGAGCATTTGAATTTTGCTCTAACTAGTGGGCAGCAAATCAAACTGTCAGTTCCTTGTTACCCGACAATTGCAAAGCTCGCTCAGTAATTAAAAAACCCATGTGTGTTACAGGTACACCAAAAGATACTGAAAGAAAAACAGCTCTTAAAATTGTTATATATGATTTAACGTGTTACACAATTTTAAGACATGCAGTTCGGGGAAAGGACACTTTGGCAGATTTTCTCACCTGTATCTGTAATCTATTTATTGGCCCTTTTTTCTAGTAATTTTTAACAGTGCCAATTCTGCAACTGGCTATTTAGTTCGTGACTGGGATAACATTGGCGTGAGAAATTAAAGCACACACATACGTCATTCCAGTCGCACGCTGTAAGACACCAACAGATGCAGATGCAAGCGCAGGTATCTGATGGATACGGATACTTCAATCCGTGCACTCGTGTTGACGCCTGAACTGACCCAGACTCATTTGCATACAATCGCCAAGCCCACTCGGTTTTCTGCACTCCGCAATCCACATACCGGCCCCGTTGGCACCGGAATTGGCACATTTACATGCAATCTGTAACAGTGCCAATATGTATCTGCCAGCTGTATCTAGTTAGAAAGGGCTTTTGTCTGAATATCTCTGGGGGCCATTAAGTGGTATTGGTACCACTTTGATCTATGGCACTGCCTGGGAATCCTACAGAATATGCTAGGGCATTGTATGCAGATTATAAATAGCCAATTAGAAATGAATCGTCTGCAGTTTAATTAAGTACGACTTGCTAATCGGTCGGGGTTAATTCATGCAATATCACGATCCAGGGTCTTGCATACTTCTCTGATTGATTATTCATTTATGGCCTGTGGTTTCCAAAGTTATTGCACTGTAAAAAATGAGTTTACATTAAAAGCAAGAAGGTTCGGTTAAACTTAGGCAATAAATTAAAGGTATACTTCTTGGAAAATTTATTTTAGTTCAATGAGTTCATACAGAGGCCTAAAAACAACTTCAGAGAAGTATATAAGATCATGTTTTCCCTTTTTGACTTTAATCTATTAATATATTTCATAAATATATTCATTAATTAGTTAAATGAAGTCATTTTGTTACCGTGTCGCAGCCTTTAGATTATTCTCAATAATCAAAACTATTTTAAGATGCGATTTTAATGTTGGGAAAATCTCTGTTGCCGATTTCCTCCGCTGATGATTGTCCGGAAAAAAGGCCGGAAATAGAAATGATAGATAAGCGGCTGCCAATCGCCGAGTGGAGGCAGTTTAAGTTCTAGTCTGGTTGTGACTACAGCAGCATCCAGTAATTCCAGTTTTGTGTTCCTTACTTCACAGTTCCCCCAGCTTGCCATGTTCCGAATCCTCGTCGGAGTGACTTGTGCGCTCCTTTGGCTGGAAGCGAGTCAGGCTCTAGCACCTGGGCTACAGGTGGCCAAGCAGTGGAAGCTCCTACGCTATAATTTCCAGCCCCAGGCGCCGATCAACGATCCCAACTTCTTTAGTCCCCAAAATGTTTTGATCACGGGAGTCGCAGTAACGGACGATCGCATCTTTGTGGCCACGCCGAAGCTCTTTTCGGGCGTATCCTCCACTGTAAGTTGGGTGTCTAAGGCGCAGTTCGGGGACTCCCCCACCCTGCAAGCCTTCCCCGACTGGTCCTTCTCCAACACCGGTCGCAGTGACTTCAACTGCAGCGATCTAATCCTGACCTCTGTGTACCGCCTGCGCGTGGACTCGTGCAATCGCATTTGGCTGCTGGATGCCGGAGTTTCACGCTCCCTGGAGGACTTCGAGATCACCTGCCCGCCAAAGATCCTGGTGGTGGACTTGGCCACGGATCGAGTGGTGCGCAGAATCGATTTCCCTCCGGAGGTCCTGCGTGGGGAGTCCCTGTTCACCAACATGGTGATCGATGAGACAACGGCCAAGGGATGCGACGATGTGTTCGTCTACATCACGGACACCGTGGAGCCGGGCATCATAGTTTACGACAGCGGAAAGGACGTTACCTGGCGGGTGTCACACCCGGCCATGTATCCCGATCCGGACTTTGCCCAGTCGGAGATCCACGAGCACCGTTTCGTGTTGATGGACGGAGTGGTAGGACTGACCTTTGACGAGCGCACTGGCGTGGTGTACTTTCAGCCTCTGGCCACGGATAGGTGAGTCATCGCAAGAAGAGATTAGTAACAATTTACTATAATATTTTCTGTGTCTACAGAGTCTTCTCCGTACACAAAAATGTCCTGCGAGCGGGTCCTCTGCCCGATAACAAAATGCTGGACGTAAAACTGGTGGGCAAGAAGAGCTCCCAGGGCATTGGTCTTTCGGTTTCGCCGTTCGACAGCAGCCTAATCTTCAGCCCGCTGAGCGAAACAGCGATTGCCTCATGGAATCCGACGACCAATCAGCAATCCGTGCTGGCCTACGATAAGGATCAACTGCAGTTCGTGGCCGATATAATCACCACTAGGTCGGAACCGGGCGTTATCTATGCCATCTCTTCAAAGTTCCATCGATTCTTCCTGAAGAACCTAAATCCCAGTGAGTATAACAACCGCATTGTCCGACTGGAGCTGCCCGCCGGAAACTCCCTACTGGGCCATCGGGTAGCCCTGCCTCCCCCGCCGACGCACAACAGCCTGCTGAACTACGGCGTCTACAATACCCATGCCCAGACCTCGACGAATGCCCTGCAAACCTACTTCACCAGTCCGGGCCTGACCACGCCCTTCACTACCAAGACGCCCTTTAAGTTTGAAACCGGCGGGATCGTAAACTATGCCGCCCGCAATCCCTTTACGGCCCTTAACCAGGGCGAGGCCTTTCCGCCCAGCAAGGCCACCAGGGACAACTATCAGCGCTCCTACCTGGACACCCTGGTGGGCACCACAGCTCCGGGGGCCACTACACGGGTGGTTTCGCTGCCACCCACAGCCTACACCACACGACACAGTGGTTACTACTATCAGCGGGCCACGAGATCGGCGGGACAGCAGTAGGAATGGCTGAACCAGCTCTTAACTTGTGTTCACGCTGCGTATGCGCAATGCGAAGAGCAGCCGATGTAAATAAATCTCCGTAAATGTATATTGATTAAATTACTTTAAAGAAAAATGCCTACACTTGTTTTCTTTAAAGGGCAAAATGGGGAATTCCCTTAAATTTTTCCCACCATAGGTATCCTCCATTTACACGAACTTCAAGATTCAGGATTTCATTATATCCTCGACGACCACAAAACTAAAATTGTTATCAGCTTGGTGCTTTTGGTCCACGAACCACCTCAACGATAACATATATTCACCACTTGGAAATGGAAGGGGCATTAGTTCAGGTCTCAGATACAATCCCCTGAGATATAGTGGTCCCTGGCATTAAAATAAAGTATTAGCTTGAATTTTAAGAAAAATGTAGGATAATCTCACCACAAAAGGACACGTGTGGTTGATATTGGTAAATTCCTTAAAGAGTCCAAACAGTATTTTTGCTGCCGGGTTATAGTTTTTTCGCATAAAACGGCAACAATCCACTACACCCTTTAGAAGCCACGGCTTATACCCACTTTCCCTTTTATATAGGTTGCCATGGACAAAGACGTTATTTACAGAATGGAGAACAGTTCCGTTGATATTGAGGATCACCTTATCCCGAGACACGGCCTTTAGGCGACACTCGTGGTACTGAAACCTGGATATGTTGTAGCTTTCGCAGACAACGTTTGAGAACTTGAAAGTAGCAGCATACTGTAAAAAGGTTTAAACATATAACCTCTTTAAAAAGTTATTTCACAACTTACACTAAAATGTGATAAAGATACCCCTAGAAGAGAACCTCAAATTAATGTCCACCGCATATTAAGCAGTTATTTTTTGTGTCGAGCACAGAAAGAAGAACCTACAGATATATAAATGATTTAGAAGAAATAAGTATTGTGGCTTTTTTTTCTTGATTTACTTTTAAGTTTTATAGACAACCAGGGCGCTGCGATAAAGTTGATTATAACGCCAACCGCAGTGAAAAGTAACCGCAGACTCAAACTAAAAAGTCAAATAAACAGAAGAGTTTAGGGGCTTACCTATATAGCTTAAATTATATAAGCAATTATTTGAATTTTCAACTGTAGCTTTTATGTTAAGATCAACATTTATTTGGTCCGTTGAATGGTTTAAAAATAAATGGTATATAGTAACTATTGGAAATTAAGTTCTCTACCAATACGATCCCCATTTCAAAGTGCAAAATAATTATTATAAGTGGTATAAACCGCGCTGCATTTTGTTAACTTTGAAAACGATCTGGTATTTCATGCTTTCATTATATCCTCGACGAACACAAAACTGACATTGGTATCAAATTGCAGTTTCTGGTCAAAGAACCACCTCAAGGATAACATATATTCGCCAGTTGGAAATGGAAGTAACAATAGTTCCGGTCTCAGATAAAATCCTCTAACAATTTGTGGGCCCTGGAAATGATGTAATTAAAGGATTACCTTGAATTGTACGAAGAAAAGTAAGATACATTTACCACAAAAGGACATGTGTGGTTGATATTGGTAAATTCCTTAAAGAGACTGAAGAATATTTTTGCTGCCGGATTATAGTTTTTTCGCATAAAACGGCACCAATCCACTACTTCCCTTACGAGCCAAGGCTTGTAGCCACTTTCTCTTTTATATAGGTTACCATGCGCAAAGACGTTATTTGTAGGATGGAGAACAGTTCCGTTGAGATTGAAGATCACCTTCTCCCGAGACACGGCCTTTAGGCGACACTCGTGAAACTGGAACCATGATTTGTTGTAGCTTTCGCAGACAACGTTTGAAAACTTGAAAACGACTGCAAACTATAAAACAGAGATTTGAATAGCATTTCTTTTTTGATATATTATTCCACGACCTACACTGAAATTTGATAAAAATACTCCAAGTAGAGCACAACAAACTAAAGACAACCGCATATTAAGCAACTATTGTTTGTTCTGAGCACAAAAAGAAGAACCTAAAGATATATAAATGTCTGTATAAATATTTGACAAAATAATATTGCTTATTGTTTGGTTCATTTACTTTAAAATTGTCCACTTAATTAAGGTTTAGCGATTGATTTGAATGAAATGGCATATACGTTATTTTATTTTTTACAATTGATGTGAAACCTTCCTAGGTATTTAAAATTTTTTCCGCCGACCTAAGTAACACGTTGACACAGACTCCGACTAAATAGTCAAATAAACGGAAAAGTTTAGGCTATAATATAGCTTATATTATTTAAGCAATTATTTTGAATTCCAACTGTTTTATGTTGAGATTACCATTTATTTGGTCCATTGAATGGTTTAAAAATAAATGGTATATAGTAACTATTGGAAATTAAGTTCTCTACTAAAACAATCCTCATTTCAAAGTGCAAAATAATTATTATAAGTGGTATAAACCGCGCTGCATTTTGTTAACTTTAAAAACGATCTGGTATTTCATGCTTTCATTATATCCTCGACGAACACAAAACTGACATTGGTATCAAATTGCAGTTTCTGGTCAAAGAACCACCTCAAGGATAACATATATTCGCCAGTTGGAAATGGAAGTAGCAATAGTTGCGGTTTCAGATAAAATCCTCTGATAATTTGTGGTCCCTGAAATAAAAATAAATTATTATCTTTTATTTAAAGCTGAAAAGTTGGGTAAACTTGCCACATAAGGACACGTGTGGTTGATATTGGTAAATTCCTTAAAAAGACCAAAGACTATTTTTGTTGCCGGGTTATAGTTCCTTCGCATAAAACGGCAGCAATCCACTATTTCCCTTACGAGCCACGGCTTATAGCCACTTTCTCTTTTATATAGGTTACCATGGACAAAGATGTTATTTACAGAATGGAGAACAGTTCCGTTGAGATTGAAGATCACCTTCTCCCGAGACACGGCCTTTAGGCGACACTCGTGAAACTGGAACCATGATTTGTTGTAGCTTTCGCAGACAACGTTTGAAAACTTGAAAACGACTGCAAACTATAAAACAGAGATTTGAATAGTATTTCTTTTTTGATATATTATTCCACGACCTACACTGAAATTTGATAAAAATACTCCAAGTAGAGCACAACAAACTAAAGACAACCGCATATTAAGCAACTATTGTTTGTTCTGAGCACAAAAAGAAGAACCTAAAGAGATATAAATGTCTATATACATATTTTACAAAATAATATTGTTTATTGTTTGGTTCATTTACTTTAAAATTAAGGTTCAGCGATTGATTTGACTGAAATGATACATACGTTATTTTATTTTTTTTACAATTGATGTGAAACCTTCTAAGGCACTTCAACTTTTTCCGCCGACCTAAGTAACACGTTGCCACTGACTCAGACTAAATAGTCAAATAAATGGAAGAGTTTAGCCTATATTATTTAAGCAATTATTTGAATTTTCAACTGTAGCTTTTATGTTAAGATCAACATTTATTTGGTCCGTTGAATGGTTTAAAAATAAATGGTATATAGTAACTATTGGAAATTAAGTTCTCTACCAATACAATCCCCATTTCAAAGTGCAAAATAATTATTATAAGTGGTATAAACCGCGCTGCATTTTGTTAACTTTAAAAACGATCTAGTATTTCATGCTTTCATTATATCCTCGACGAACACAAAACTGACATTGGTATCAAATTGCAGTTTCTGGTCAAAGAACCATCTCAGGGATAACATATATTCGCCACTTGGAAATGGAAGAAGCAATAGTTCAGGTTTCAGATAAAATCCTCTAACAACTTGTGGGCCCTGGTAAAATTAAAGTTATACTTTAGTTGTTTTTAAAACCAAAATGAGGATATACTTACCACGTAAGGGCATGTGTGGTTGATATTGGTAAATTCTTTGAAGAGACCAAAGACTAATTTAGCTATTGGGTTGTAGCTCTTTCGCATAAAACGGCAGGCATCCACTCTAGACTCCATAAGCCACGGCTTAAAGCCGCTTTCCCTTTTGAACACCTTGCCCTCTGTGTGGGCATTATTTACGGGATGCAGAATAGTTCCGTTCATATTTAGGATCACTCTCTCCCGAGATACGGCCTTCAGGCGACACTCGTGAAACTCGAACCACGATTTGTTGTAGCTCTCGCAGACAAAGTTGGAAAACTTGAAAATTACTGCATACTGTAAAAGAGGTTTTATTATATTTTCTATACTTAGTTATGGGTTTTCTCAGCGTACACCCAAATGTGATAAAAATACTCCTAGTAGAGCACAATATATAAATGTGTACCGCATTTTACTAAACTAATATTTGTTCTGAGCACAGAAAGCTGAATGTATAAAATGCATAAGTAAATGTGTTTATAATGATTACATTTTGCCAAAAATATTGCAATTATATAGTCATTAAATATTCGCATATTTGTTGCTTGATTGACTCAACTTTAAAGCCCAATTTAAGCTAGCGAAGTTATATATTGTTGCGAAAGGGATCGTCAAGGTTTTTAGTTAAGTAATTCAAATTTATTTACAGCTTCAATTTAAACAGGGAAATAGGGAAAAATCAACCAGTATTCCTTGTAATCCCAATAGTATTTAAATAATTAAATTAAATTAACTTTCTTGCTGAAATATTTACAATAAAACCCCAGAGTTATAGATAAGCCAATGCCATTATTTAACCTCTGATACGGGAAGCAATGGCTTGGGCTTACACCATTGGTAAATGTTTCCTAAACACATTAATTTCATCTGCAAACTCCCAGCAGTATATTTTACTTTTCTCCTTGAAGAAAGCTCCCAAGCATGATAAATGTGACCAATAATGCCAACTATTTATTACTTTCAAGCCAATTAATTGCACGTTAATATCTGCAGCGACACTTAATGGTAGATTATTTTTCCATTTGTATGCAATGAATGGCAGTGTCACAGCTTAGTTGATTAACAAAGACATTAACTATAAAGTCGAAACGAGTCTGCCACCTGCTGCAGATTACTGCGGTCACCTTAGGAAGCCATATCTAGACCAGGGTATTAGAGATTGGCCAATACCTCCAGAGGCGAAAAGACTTGCTTCCGGCAGCTCAAGCCTTGCTAAATTTGGGGAAGCTGTTACTTTTTTATTTTAACACCTTTGGCTAGTGTTCCTCGAGTTTATGGCAAACTGGGGTAAGGTTAGGCCAAAATGTGTGAAGAATATTACGGGGCTAAGTCCAAATTAAGCGACCAGTTCCAGTCATCAAACAATATTCGCTTTTAAATGCCATTAACAATTTGAGGCTTAAACCGGTCGACGGCAGGCGTCGCGACGCGTCGGTGGAATTAGATAGTATCTCCTGTATCTTCGGACAGTAATTGATGGGCGAAACAAGAAACAAATTGTACAGGGGCAAGGTGGACAGATATATTGGTATGTTTTACCAGATTGCGATTATTGCATGCAGTCAAGCGTGTGGAATTGGTTAATCGATTGGGAATCGAATCGAATTGAATCACTTTCAAATATCGAATGCAGTTGTATATGCTTTAAAATATTTCTATATTCAATGTATTTCCCTTTCCAAAAAATGGCGTTAATTAAAAATCAATATGAAAATAAGGAAGCGTTTTCTGTTAATTGATTTCAAATTTTATTTCGATGACAAGCTGACCGCATCCAACGGAATCACTTTCTAATATTTGGATATATATACATATGAGATGAGCTGTTTATATATACTTACAAATCGTTAAATTTGAAAATTATATCCCCGATATTGTTATTTAAAAGTCAAGCTGATATAAGAAAGAGCAGTGAGTGACGAGTTCGGAGACATAAATATTTTATGACTTGGCGCTCATTCGCTGCGAATGTATAAGCCGTCGCATCAATTAAGTTTCGTTTGTACATTATGAAAGTGCAATAAAAACGCGTTTAGTTTCGTCACTCTCTGGCGGACAGAATGTCTCAATGGACAAAATGCCTTTTGATTAATTAATCAAATTAAGCCAACTTACCGACGACGCTGCTCATCTCTCGGCTGTGACATTAATGAGCCGTGAAATGACAGACCAACTAGTTTTTTCTGCATTTAATGTGTTGATTTCTTCATTTTTTCTGGCCTGCGGTTTAATTCTTAGTGGCGGGCGCCTCCATCAAAGTAATTTGCATATTAAAACCGATGCCAACTGGGGCCATAAACACCCAATGGTTTATTCATTAACGATTAGAAGTTATGTTAGCGAACAACCTGGTAATAGTTTTGATCATATTAGATTTTTAATTTTAACTGTGTTTAATATTAAACATTTGGGGGAGTAATTTTACTGGGAATATTATAAATTCTTCTGAGAAAGTTGATGTTAACAGTCAAAGACAAAAAATTTGATATGGGTTATCGTAAAAATTTTAAAAAATGTGCTAAAATTTTGAACTTCTAAAGTCCTATTTCGGTTTCTTAGCTCAGAAAAAACTAGCACAGAAAATCTTTTAAAAGTCGATGCCATAATTCTATTGAAAACTGCAAGGGTATACAAATTTCGGCTTCCCAAAGTTAGTTTCCTTTCTTGTTTAGTAAATCCTATCTTAACTATCTTTATAATATCTCTTGAACTAATAGCGATAGTCCCTCCTAAATTACGTCTTTAAGTTTATTTGCATGGAAACTGCCAGCATCGTTAGTCCAAATTCGGTTGAACCAATTAACCTAAACACCCATTGGATTATTCATGAGCGATTGGATATTTATAAGGCTGATAACAAACTGTCCATGCTGTTTTCAATGTCAATACATTAAATCAACACTTTCGTGGCTTTTGAACTCTATTTAGTTATGTATATAATCTAATCCCATTTGTTAACTAAATTCCAAGAATCTAATATACACTTACTCTTCTCTAGGGTCTAAATAACTTAGTAATCATGTTGTAAAGAGCCTGTGATTTTAGTTTATTATTGATCTGCTAAATTTTAAACAATCTTATATGACAAATAATAATATATATTATTTCCTTGCATTACCATTTTAGCCACACATCTGAAGTACTCTCAGAAAGAGCATTATACTGAAAGAGATGAAACTCTAGAAGAGCAAAAACAACCAACTTATACAATATACATTTTAAAAACCAGTTGTGATACATCCATTGAATTTTGTTTTTGCTATTTCACAATGTTTACGCTTTTTTGGCGTCTGATGGTTCAGTATAATGGCAAGAGCCCTCGAGTAAGGATCACTCTTGATTGGACGAACAAAACCTGAAAATGTGAGGCAGATTTTATTTTCGGCTACCTTGATTAATCCAGAACTCGTTACAGGCGGCTAATTCTACATTTTGTATTATGGATAACTTTACAAAGCCTTTGCCTGGCTCAGTATCACTATCATGTCAACCGCCCAAAGAATAATCAGCCGAATTTCAAGTTTCCCTCGGAGTACAAGGAACTGCAAAGAGTTTACGAATGGAAGAATATTCAATATGGTTTTCCCAGCGAACAGGAACGGCAGGAGTTGCTGCGAAATGGTCGCTATAATCCGGGCAGTCCCATACCGATCGATATTGATGTATATTACCCACGTAAGCACACAACACAAATATTAGAGATTTGTATTGATAATTTTTTGAGAGTCACTGATTTGCTGAGGATCTTTCTTTTCCGTAATCGGATTAATTAACTTTTTTAGTTAATTTTAAAAATAAGTTCTCGGATTCATTGCCTTGTCATTTAAAGATGTTTAATAATATACATTCAGAGCTCATCAAGGCATTCGACGATCACTTTTAATTCCTGTTTTTATCAAGATAAAAATTAAACATCAATTCTTTGACATTTCAGCTAATGGCGCCCGTCCGCGTCTCTTTGTGACATCACCTCGCTTTGGACAAGGGGTTCCATATTCCCTGGCCTATGTCACAGATGTCCAGGGTGAAAATGGCACGGTACTCCAGGCCTATCCCAGTTATGAATGGCACAGCAGCCACGGCGGCAACTGCGATGGTCTGACCTCCGTTTATCGGGTCCACATTGATGCCTGTGGACAGATGTGGGTATTGGACAGTGGAGAAATAGAGTTTGTGCAGCACTGTGCGCCGCAGGTGGTGGTCTTTGATTTGGCCACCAACCAGTTAATCCATCGCTACCGTCTGCCAGAAGCCGCCTACAAGGCGAAGGTCAGCAGGTTTGTGAACATATTCGCGGACATACGGGACCCACCGCCAGGTGGGCAATGCAAGGATGTGTTTGCCTACCTGGCCGATCCCACCAGCAAGGCCATAGTTGTCTACGATGTGGCGAATCAGCAGTCGTGGCGCATCGAAAACAAGTTCACCTATCCGGACGCCAGATTCGGCACCCACACGGTGGCAGGTGAGAGTTTCGAGCTGCTCGATGGACCCCTGGCCTTATCAGTGACTCCGCTGGGTCTGGGGCTGCGACGACACCTGGTTTTCCATGCCCTTTCCAACGACCTAGAGGTGGCCATTCCCCTGGACATACTCAACAATGCCACGAACTGGAGGGCAGGCCTGAGTGCTTCTTTGTCGGAGTTCATGACTCTGGGCAGGCGGGGAGTTCAGTGCGCGTCGCATGCCATTAGCCGGCAGGGATTCTGGTTCTGCGGCTTCCTGGAACCCATCGGCATCTTCGGCTGGGACATACGCAGGCCCTACACTCGCGAAAATGTCCAGTTGCTGGCTCTAAATCCTGATACCCTGCAGTTTGTGAGCGGCATGAAGATCGTACAAAGACCCAGCGACGGGCGCGAGGAACTCTGGCTGCTGTCGGATCGCCTGCAGAAGATCTTTGCCGGAACCATTGACTACACCGAGATCAATTATCGGGTACTACGCTGCGACGTTGACGACCTGCTGCAGGGGCGGGGTTGCTTTTAGATCCGATATCCGAGACTCCATAAAGACTAGACCAGAGACCCTCGAGATCTGAGAGGCTGGCTGGGGCAGTGCAAACACCATTTAAGCGGCCATAAAAGATGTCCATCCATAAATCTTTGAACTATTCGAAAGTGTTTGTTTGGTCGCCACAGGTACACGACCTTTACCTAAGAGCCCGCTGGTCAATTACACGCGAAGAAATGTTTAAGCCCAGAAATCGAGTAAAATAAATTACATTTAAGATAGTTTTTAAAATTCATTAACAAAATGATTAAGTCATAATGAAGTAAATAATATTTTCAATAAACAAAAATTATGCCATATAAGTTTCCTTTGATTTAAAAATATATCCTTTAATCATTCTTTAGCTAGATTTTTTCTTCGAGTGCAGCCTGGACCACAGGCTAACACCTCTATCGCGCCTACCTGTTCATCTCTTCAGTCTTCGGCAACCTTTTGAACAGTATGGATCTGTCACTCTGTAAGTCATCAGCTAGTGCCATGATCGTGATCCTTCTCAGCTTGCTCAGTGCAGTTCAGGCCCAGAAGCTGGCCCTCAAGGAGTTGTATACTCTCCACCAGTGGACAAATCTGAGTCTGGGCGATGACCAGGCCCTGGGCAATCGCTTCTTGCCGGTGGACGTGGACATTGAGTATGGAGATGAGGGAAGACATCGCACCTTCCTCACGATTCCACGGCTGGGCATGGCCACACCCTTCACGCTGGCCACCGTGGTGTCGGATGATAACGAGGTTGTAGAGAACCCCAGGCTGGAGCCGTATCCCAATAAAGAGTGGCATATTCCACCCAACAATTGCTCTGGCATTACATCGGCCATTAGGACTTATGTGAGTACCAGTTTATCAAGGGAATCCTTATGTGGAGATGGAGATTATAAATTTTGTTATTTTTTCTCAATTTTTTCACAGATCGATCAATGCTGGCGGCTCTGGGTGGTGGACTCTGGCCAGGTCAACTCCCTGCAATTGTGTCCGCCGCAGGTTCTGACCTTTGACCTGGTCAGGGACGAGCTGATACAGAGGCACTCCCTGCCCCCAAATACCTACACGCCCAGCGTGTCCATCTTCACCGCCCTGGTTGTGGACCTGTCGGAGAGTGGCACACCCAATAGATGCGTGGGCGGCAAGGCCTATATAGCCGATGCCTGGGGCTATGGCCTTATTGTGTTTGACTCCTTGACCGGCAGATCCTGGCGCATTGAGCACGAGTCCATGAGACCTTTGGCGTTTGTGGGATTAGCTCGATCCGGTAGCTCCCAGGCGGGAATATTCACTGTGAGCTTGAGTCCCAGTGAAGTGGAGGATCGTTTCCTGTACTTCCACACCCTGAACGCCTTCAATGAAGTGAAGGTGTCCCTTGCCGTGATCAACAACGAAACCATCTGGAAATCGAACAATGCCAGTACATCGCTCGATGGCCACTTCCACATCCTGGGTACTCGGGGTATCCAATGCGAGTCCGAGGTAATGGATCAGTCGGGGAATCTCTTCTGCAGCCTCATTAGCCTGGGAGCGCTTATTAAGTGGGAGGAGAGCTCCAATTATACGGCGGATGACCTGCGAGTGGTGGCCTATAATCCGCATAAGATCAAGTTCGTCACGGGTCTGAAGATCAACCGGAATTCCCAGGGAGAGGAGGAGCTCTGGGCCCTGAGCAGTGAGCCGAAACTCTTCGTGGGTGGTGCTCTGCCGGAGAACGAGGTCAAGTTCCAAATAGTAGGCTGCCGCACGGCTGACCTTCTTGCCAATACGCCCTGTACAGTGGGTGTTACTGAAACTTCGCCCACTAAATTAGCAAATTAATTTAACATAACTACTTAGATTTATTTAAAATATTTTAAAAAGAAAAATTATTTGATTTTGGCCGTTGGGCCTATAATGCAAAGAATTCTTAAATTAGAATTAAAATAAATTAATTAAAGTGTAATATTTATCGTGTTTTATTATTGTATGTATTTAGAACGGTGTTTTTTTTTTACTTTAAATTATTTAAAATTCAAATTAAAAGGTGTTACTGGCTCTAGAAAGCTGCCAGCTTTAAAACTCAGGCTGCTTTTAGTATTTTTCTCAAAGAGACATGGTATATTTTACCCGGCCTACCTACGGTCACACTACTTGTCTGTTTACGTGTATTTCCTTATTTTGGATTTTGTTTTATTTACCCCAAAAATCCAATTAAATATGACGAACCTGCAACGCTGGCTCTTCTACGCCTCGCTCTTTGCAGTGCCCTATCTGGCCATTGTCTTGGGAACGGTGCAAACCCAGTTTACTACCAAGTATTTCCTACACATTCAACTGCTCCCCTTGCTGCTGCTGGTGATTTTCGGCGTAAGTTCTGTAGACTTTGTAGATAACACCTGACCTCTGATTAATTCACAATTTTATCATCATTTCACTCAGATATTTTCGGCGTGGACTGTCTTGTACCGGACTTTTACTTTCAACGACTGCCCCGAGGCCGCCAAGGAGCTGCAGGCTGAGATTCTGGAGGCACGCAAGGACTTGATAGCCAAGGGATTTCGGTTTCGCGACTGAGGTGGGGGGTTCCCAACTCCCCAGGACTTGTGCATGTTAATCTGTAATTCCATTATTTATATAAAGTTACGCAAATGTACTTAAGAACGTGTTTTATGTGTAGGTGAACCATGCAAGGGTTGATTTCCCTAGGTGGCAAAAGTTGCTAAGACTCGAATATGTTGAGGTTTTGGTTTTGGTGGCTAGAAAAATGGTAGGAAACAAAAAATAATGCGTTTTATGTAATTTTAGTGGAAAGAACTGTGTATTTATATTGTCTTGTAATTAAAATGTCCAGAATCCCGTAGGGATGAACATATAAGGACTTGAAAATGCGAGGTAACCTTCTTTTTAAATCCAATTTCCTTTTATTTTTTATTTTAAATTAGTAATTTCTATTCTTATTTGTTTATTTTTCGATTGAAAATGAAATCAGGATATCCCATTTTCGATATTTTTAAAGTACACATCAATTTAAGATATTTTGCTTTTGGGATTTCTGTTTTTGGTCTAGTTTTAAATCTATTTACATGACCAAAAATATTTATTTTTGATCTTAAAAAATAATTTGGAAATCATTAATGAATAAAAACGAATTTAATTTGTATCCTTTTATTCAATATTTTTATATTTTTGTTAAAGTTTTTTTGAGGCCTTTAATTTTCTATTAAAATATACTATAACTTCTAATCTATAAGTTACATATTTCTATTTATCTATGTAAAATATTTAATTTAACATAATATCTTATATAGTAAATTATCCTCTTAAAATCAGCGATCGAGCTCTTGTATTATCGATGTGTATACGATGAAACGAAGCCCAGCCCAAATTATGCATGCAGCTCTGGCTCTGGTTTCGACGCCGTGCTCACCGGCAGCGTCAAGCTCTCTTTTCCCAGCAAACAACAGTTCGCGCTTAGACCCCGGACCGCTCACAACGCGACAGTCGCTCGTTCGAAAGCCCACAGAAGGAACAAAAAATTGGAAGAAAAAAATTAGTAAGCAGAACAACAAGAAGCCAGAAAATGAGTCACAAAATTGCCGCCGTATGTCTCCTGATGAGCTGCCTGTTTGCCGCAGTCTACGGCGCAGCTAAGGTGAGTCTTTCCGGCAAAAAACTAACACATAGACGGGCGAAAAAAAGCTGCAAAATGGCATGGCTAAATAAAAATCATTACACAACCGAGGCAAGCGTGTCAGGGCCGTCGAAAAGCAGTTATACTATGTAGGTGAAGACGTGCTTAGGCGCAAAGAAAAATAATGAATAATAGACGAAAATCGCTTTAGAAAAGCTGCACCCTTTTCGTGGCAGCAACAAGTGGCATTTCCATGAGTTGAACGACCCGACACTAGCTTGGAAAATGCCGCAGCGGAAAAGCGTAGAGCGTAGAGCATAGAGCAGGGAGCAGCGAGCATAATTGACACTGTAAATAAGCCACCGAGTGCCCTGTTGCTCTGCTCTGTTGTTATTTTCGTTTGGGGCTCCGGAAAACCGGTTCCGAGACCAGTTTCAATTTCTCACAGAGCAGCCAAGCGGCGGTGAGCCGGCAGCCCAACTGCAACTCCATTGTACACACAGAATAAATTGGGCTAATTTCCAGAACGAAACGACCTTTTGTTCGGTTTAAGCTTAAAGGGAGCAAAGTACCTTTATTTTTATTTATTTAATTTAATTTAACCTTTTGCGACCTATAGTGGGTTTTATTAGTTGGCTAGTCTTCAAGGTTTTGTTGTTGTTAATTAGTTAGGTTTTTTATTTGGCAATTAAATTTACTATTATTAAAGCAAACGTTTAGAAAAAAATGTTTTTAGTAGGTAAATAAAATGCTTTATATTAGAAAGTTTCTAATAGAAACTCGTATTTGTTTTTATATTTTCTGTTTACCAATTAGATTATTAATTTTTTAATTTATTTAGAAACTATACCCTGAATAAGTAAACAATCCCTTAGCTACCTTGCTGGTTCACCAAGATTTATCTATGTATTTCTTGCTGTGTACCTTTACATTTACCTGTTGAAGCTTCTGTTGTTGTTCAGATCATTAAGAACGGTGGGTTCTTTCAGCGATGCGTCAGCAGCCTTTATATAACTTTAACTCCAGCAAATAAACAATTTGCATTTGTGTTTATATACTCGTGAGCATTTGTGATTATTTTCTATTTTTTCTGTTATTTTTTCCATTGTCATTTTGGTTGCCATTGTCAAAACTATTGCGCATCAGTCACGAGTTTAAAAAAAACTATTATAATAAATAGTTATTTTATCGGTTAAGGTTCACAGCAATTTGTGGAGATTAATCTGTAATCAGTTTTTATTTGGGTTAATATAATCAACAGAAATTACAAGTAAATTGCAATAAGCGAGAGTTTGGTTGAGGTTGGAAAATAAATATTTGTAGTTCTGTTCAACATATTCAAGCCACCGGAAATGAATAAACTATACAAAAAAGGTTTTTTTTACTAATTTTCTCAGAATAATACCATACGTCCAGAGAGATTTATTGAATGAGATATGGAAATATGCCGAGTTGACTGATCTCAAGAGAATTGTGTGCTGAGATCAGCATTATTTGATATTTGTATATTTATACACAAATATTCCGGCTTCAAACCACATGTTCCTGGAGCTTTCAAATGGGTAAACCCATGTGTTCACTTCCCAAACGCGACCTAATTATATGGAATTAAGATAAACTATTCAATGAATTTAATGTTTTTTTAAGAATAACAAACCAAACAATTAATTAATTAAGTTCAGACATTTGTGTTTTAATTGTTTTCCACTTTTTTTGTTCAAGTATATATTTAATAGGTTTAAGGCAAGCAAATTAATGGATGTTGATTGTGTTGTTGTAATCAAAGTCTATTAAATGCACATTTGGAATCACCTCCTGATATTTATTTTCCTTATCTATCACTCTCTTACGCATGCCGGTTCAAGTTCATCAATATTTTGGCCCATCAACTGGAGCATGTGCCAGTTGTTGTCCCCAATTGATAAACAAAGAGTAACAATATTTGGACCCGGTCCATTCAGCCGCATGTGATTTGCATGGCTCGGTTTGGCTGCACTTTCGAAAAATGCAAATTAGGGACGGCATCCCCCTCAATCAGACTTTGAACAAGTGCAGCAATCTTTTGCACCGAAAGAAATACCGCCACATGCCTTTTGTATATTTATAATTTAAATAAACATATTAGATTAAGATAGTATTATATTTGTCTACAAATAATCAAGTGCAAATTTAATTCCCTGTTTCAATTTTATTATCTAATATTCCCTAGGTACCCATTGCCGTGTACTACGAGTCTCTGTGCCCGGACAGTGCCAAGTTCATTACGGAGCAACTGTATCCTGCGGTCAGGGGAGAGCTGCGCGATGTGGTGGACCTCACCTTGGTGCCTTTCGGAAAGTCTCAGGTGAGTGTGAGCCCGAACCCTTACTTCATTTTTCCTCCGGCTGGACAATGGCTCATTTGCATCGTTTTCTTTGGTAGTTCTTTACCCAGGGCGCCGAGGTGACCTTCACCTGCCACCATGGGCCGAACGAGTGCTACGGCAACAAGGTGCATGCCTGTGCCATCGAGCACATCCAGGCCAACTCCTACCAGGTTGAGTACACGCGCGAGTCCCTGACTATCGACTTCATCAACTGCCTGATGAAGGCCGGCAAGAACTTCCCGGACAATGTCTATCCCGGCCAGCGTTGTGCGCAGGAGAACCACATCAACAACTGGGAGAACATCAAGACATGTGCCAACAGCACCGAGGGCAGTGTCCTGCTACGTAAGGCCGGAGAGGCCACCCAGCGGCTCAAGGAGCCACTGACCAGCGTGCCCACCATTCTGTTCAACGAGGTGAGAAGCGGTTATGACTAAATATACCATTTAAATTTTAATATTTTAAAAATTTTACAGCAATTTGAGAAGAAGGTTAATGAACGCGCCCAGGAGAACTTTGTCGGCACCCTCTGCAAGTATGTGTCCGCCCCACAGCCGCACATCTGCACTGCCCACAACGGTGCCGCCGCTCCTTCGATCACCAGCGTAAGCGCCATCCTTGGCTCCCTGCTGGGTCTTTGGTCTATCATCCGCCTCTTCCACTAAGCTGCCAACTGTCAGCCGCCTTTGCTATCTCCCACACCAACCCAACTTCAACTTCCAACTCAGCCAGACCTTTCTGTGCAATCGGGAATCTCAACCGTTAATGCCTTGTTTTACCTTACCACCTTTTGTTGGTTTGTTTTTAGGCCAATTGAAAGCCAAGCCGTCCAGATAGAATATGAATCACAATATCAGAGATCAAATTAGTTTTGCCAAGAGCTGGTCTTAATGTAACAATTTAATAAATTCTAAATAATAAAATATGAAATATGCAGTTTGTTTTATTGAAATTTGGTAAGTATTCTGTGGAAAATTTTAATTTATTTTAAAATTATTATAAATATGATGAGAAAATCTCTTAAAAAAGGCATTTAGAACATATTTTTAAATGTTGTATTAACCTGTGATGTTTATCCGAGAAACCCATTAAAAATTACAGTAAAATATTTCCAGTATGTCGCCTCAAAGTAGACAATAGTGTTTTCTTAGTCATTAGTTTATACTTTTAAGTCGTAATTATATATAATAGAACAGAACAAAACGTTAATTAAGTTGGCAACCACTTTTCAAAGTAATTTAACCAATTTAAGGGATTATCTATTAGTAAAAACACTTTAACTACAACAAGTTAAATCACCTATTAATTCTTCAACCGTTCATTAAATCTACAGACCCTTTAAAAATATCTCTTAAATTTTTCTTTCTTCCAAATCTAGACATTAATATTTATACCTTGTTTTTTTTTTAATAATCTAAAAATTGCAATTCAACAGAAAACCACGATCCTAACCTAGGGTTTACACACCCTTTTCCCTAATCTCCCTAATTGAAACTCTTCAAGCAAGCTTGTTTTCAGTGCTTCCAGATGCAGTTGATAGCTAGCTTTCCCCAAGCCAGACAACAGATGAGCATCGGTGGGCAATCTCATCAAATTGTGGGAGCTGAGCCGGGGCTCATGTGTTTGTTGTCAAATATTTTGATCGCCAGGCATTGAGCACCGTCAGCTGGTTATCGGGTAATTTGTTTTTGGTGCGATATAGGTGTATAGGAGATAACCTTTGGGTTCGTGTGTGCGGGTGGTGGGCGGATCAGGGGTGTATATATTTACATATATTCACTGTAGCAACAGGCCAATCCCGAGACTAAAGCAATCGCATGCAACCGGACAGATTACACCAGATGGACATGGCATCGAGGGCGGAGGTGGCAAATGTTGTAAACAACTCATTAGCGAATCAATTTGTAGCGCTGTTGAAATATAATCCGACTAAATATCAATTTGTTCGATCTAAGTTAAGGAGCTTCAGGGAAATCACAAAATATTACAACTGAACTCTGATAAAAAGCAAAATATTTGTCTTCAAGTCTAAAAAGTCTATCATATTTTAATAGAAGCTCTTTAAAACAATCATTTTTAATCAAATGCTGATCAAAGCTGAACATTTGTAATCTAAAAATGCATTAAAAATCAATTTTAGCTGAGGTTTTGATATTTTAACCCGGCTTGACAACTGCTGAGCAAGGAAACAAAAAATCTAAAATAAATATAATATATTTATATTCTGGAAAATTCTAGCTAAATAATGAAAACACATTCATTTGCTTGAGGTTTCTCATTAGAAAATGGCCTACGAGCTGTAGTTTATTTTTTAAGGAATGTAAAAGGTAATAAGACTAGAGCTTAATAAAAACGCAAGTTTATACGAAATGGCACCCCAAATTCGGACTATTTTAGTTTATATTTGTCTAAAAATCATATAAAATACATTTTTAATAAAATATACATCAAAAAATATGTATTCTTTCAATATATTTTGTGCTATATTATCATAGTTTAATTATTAAGACAAGCCTTTAGTTGTATTTACAAGAAAGGGATAAGCTAATAGAAATAAATAAGAATTAGAGTCGAAGGCCTTAGCTGCTATGGCTCTTTACCCCTAGTTAGCTCTTAGTTTATAACTATTTGTAAGCTTTGGATAAATAAATAAATAAATAGAAATAAATTAGAAATTCAAACCCCACTAAAAGGCAGTCAAAGGCTGTCCGCAAGGTCACCGCTTGGGGAATCATTCAATTGGATTGTGTATCAATTAAGTGCTAAGCGCTTTTCGGGCCATGGTTTTCTCGGGGGCAGAGTGCACTGGGTCCGCTTTTGGCAACTACGTCAGCAGGTAACGCACTCGTGGCACTCTGGAGCTACTACCAATGATGGCAATTCATTCACATCCGCGGGCGAGCAAATAAATCTGGGCGTTTTGGCTAAATTTGACGTTTGACGAACCTAATGAAGGGCCCACGCACAAGAGTTAACCGAAAATATCGCAGCATGCTTCTAGGCAAAAGCACTTCGGGTCCGTCGCTCGGCTCTCGGCTCGCTTCTGATTGGCTGCCTTGCGCCGGCCCACACACACACACGCAGGCCGCAGGTGCTGCAACAGCAGCTATAAAGCTGGCCTACTCGCCTTTGGCAGCACCAAAAGAACTCCGGCTTGCAGTCGAACAGCAGCAGCGGCAATATCAGCGAAACCATCCGGCAAGGACGAGGACGAGGACCAGGACGACAGACAAGGACACTTCTTTTGCCCCAGCAGTTTACCAGTCAAGTGAAAGTAGGTGTCGCCTGATAAAGACAGTGCTTTTAGATTGTGTTAAAGTCCCTCAACTCCTTACATTGTAATGGGTGAGTTTTTATTAGATACAATTTTGAAATTACAAAATATCCTAGGAGGTAGTGATGTTATTAATAAGTAAATTAGTGAATTGTTCAATAAATCTGTGAAAAACAGGATTTTTATTAGAAATTTTATTAAAAAGTATCAGTTTAAAAGTGCAATATTGAAGACTAATTCCTGTAATTGGTAAAATTGTGTCCTAAAAAGTAGATAATTTTCAACATAATTCAACTAAAAACTAATTTATATTCCCAAGATTCCTAGTTTTTTTTCTTATATGTTTTTGTTGGTTACAGAAAAACTTTGAAAGGTGAAACTTTGCCAAATATATTTATGTATATAGAGTTGCAAATTTAATGAAAATGAAAACTATCATAATGAATTTAGTTTTTATTTTGTTTCAAAAACTTCTAAATTATATTCCAAATTGATCTAAAGAAATCAATATAATATTATAAATATTTATAAGACTCAATGTAAGGAACTTGTCAGTAAACTAAGCTAAAATTTGAGTTAGAAAATGTTAATCCACTATTTAAATGGAAGTAATTTATACAGTTAATAAATCAGAGAACAAATTAGCTTTTATTTAAATCTTTAAATTCATTTAATATTAACCCATTAAGTTCCAAAGTCTTTATATTAAAAAAGAACTTAAAATATCCTTATGCAAACAATTAATCCATCAAAAGTAAAAGTACCCATCATTTACATTTACATTTTTAATTACAAATTATCCCCACAATTTCTACGTTCTAACTTCCTTCGATTACGATTAAAGCAACTTCCCTGGTTTGGCTTACATTTGTTGGCAATTAATTTGCCAATGCCCCTGAGGTCCTGTTTGGGCCTCGACCGTTTTTGTTTATTTGTCTAATCTAATTGAATCGAATTAGATTAGCAGCCATAATTATGCAGATTCCCGGCCCAGAGTGGGTGGGGTGGCTTTCAAATGCCTCATCTTCCGCTTTGATTTATTTTTGATAACTCCCACTAAATTGCTGCAGGCCACCGTGTGCCACCCCGCTGCCAAAGTTGAGGCTTCGAGTCACCGCAAAACTGCTCATTTTCCGCCTCCAAAGTTGAAGATACTAAAAGTCAACACATTCCTGCGAGCAGCTGTATAAATCAGGCATTATCCTTGGCGAGGGAAAACGGACAAGCGAAAGACGCAACTTGTTGCTGTTGAGAAACTTTAACTTAAACTTGATTTGAGTGTTTTCCCTTTTCCCGGCGCAGCGCACACTTTTCATTAGGAATTCAGAGCTCTGTAATGGGAGTTGTGCATGCAAAAATGCGATTGCTCCCAAAGGGGATAATATTAAATTATATAGTCTAGTCATAAAGGATTCAATGAAATATGCAGCATAATGAGCATAATGAATAAAAGAGCAGAACAGAGCCAGCAAAAAAATTATGAGCAAAGATTTTATGAAAAGTCAGCTCATAAAAGAGCCATAAACATTTTTTAAAGTCCAAGTCCAAGACAATAACAACCAAATAAATTTTGAAATTGATCCCACAGGGGTTTAATTTATTATAACTTAAAATTACACTCTGCCATCTGCAATTTTTAGTGGACTCTTAATGAGTGTAACTTGCCAACTTTTAGCTCTTTGCTTTTAGTACTCTAGCTTAAAACCACAGAAAGTCTTGACCTCACTTAAGGACCGCTTTAATTTAATTTTTCCTGCGCTGTTTTTTCCCCATTTGACTGGCTAATCTGTTAGAGAGGAGAGCAATCTGATCCGATTTGAAACGATTTGTGCCAGAGGCACGCTTCCATTGCCTGACCTGGTTAGCAGCTGTTTGCTTTGTCTTTGCGAGTATTATCAGCCGGTGATTAGAGAATTTCACACGGAAACCGATCGTGAACTTTGAATTGGGGATTCACTTAGAAAAAAAATAAAGGTAAATGTTGACCTAGAAAATATGTTATTTAAAATTAAAGCAATGCCTTTTCTCTTACTCTTAAAATCGAATTTTGTAAAAGATAAATTCACGCAAAAATTAAAAGAAGAAAGAGACTGATGAGGACATATACAATTAAAGGTTGAGCTACTTTCTAGTTTGATTCCATTTAACAGTGCCTATAAATTTGTCACGTGTACAAATTATTTGAGAGAATCCCAGCACCTGTGGAAATTTTACGGCATTGGAAGCCATACGAACGGGTATTAGTGACACTGTGTGGCAGCAACAGCTCATTAAGGCATTATTATCACAACTAAATAGCTGGGAAAATTGATAAGCCCCAAGGGTCGAGTGTTGCCACCGCCCTGCGCCTTTGGTAAACAATTATTATTATTATATATGCACATACCATATATATTTTTTCGTGTCATGCGAATGCTGTTATTGTTTTCGCAGTGCGTGGGTGTTTTTGTTGTGATGATTTTTATTGCTCCAGCGGTAGCGCTCTGGCGCTTTATATTAATTTCCACTTATCGGCTGGTCCATAAATTTAGCCCGGCCTGCGTCTGAAAATAGCCAGGGGGGGTGAGGTGGGCAATGGGAAAATGGAAAGCAGGCGGAAAAGCTACAGGAGTGGGAGTGAGACGCGTGACACCGTTTGCGTGGAGATTACGGAAGAGATCGCGGCTTATCAGTGGGTCGCCGAAAGAAAAAAAAAACGCAGAGCTGAGATTCCGAAGGTGGCATATAGATGGGGCGGAGACACAGATCGGTCTCAGTTGCTGGCGGGAGCTTGAAAATGTGAGATCGCGCTCAGGGATTCGGATTCGGTCGGTGGAATTGCCATATCAAAACTGAAAACTGGCAAAAACATCCGCCCCAATCATATCTGTGATTCTATATAGTAACCAGGTTACGGCAAACATAATACAAATATATAATAAATCAAAGTGTAGTGCTGATAAACCCTGAAAACAAAGAAAATACCTGCCGTATATATATTGCACAAAATAAAGATCAGCTAATCAGCTTTATTGAGGTGAGTTTTTCATGATGCAGTTGAAAACGACACGCGACCGGGTTCGGTTCTTGAATATTAACCAAGTCGGGCACACGGGGCGTATGATTGATGGCGACATCAACGCTAATACCTTATGTTATCATTAATACTAATGAACAGAATGACAGGAGACGTATCAGACAGACACGTGAGTTATTTTGGGATCTCAAAATATTTTGAAATTCAGTATTTAATTATATTTAAAGCATTACAATAAGTGTATAAATTTCAATAATGCAATATCTAAATACTCACATAAAAGCTCAAGTTACCTGTAATTAAATAATACAATAACTAAATAAGTAATTCCTATTAAAATTGCTTTTTATGGCTACACGCGACTTGTGGTTCGTTTTCAAATAATAAACTTAATTACGCACACATGTCGTATGATTGATGAGTTATAGGAGAACATCAGCTGTTGCCAAATTTTAATAGCTTTAATTTTGGTCCTTGGCCCACACAAACCCAAACATTTAGTGGAAGAAAACATGATGGTCCCCGCAAATTAAATGACTTAGCTTTTATCTTTGAATATTCTCGGAAAAGATGTCCGCAAGCTGATGAGCACATTTTGAGAAATTCCAGGCACGTAATAAACAAATGCTTGCAGAACTTCCACCTTTTGCCCTCAAGTCCATGCTAATTGTCTTTGTGTTTGTGGGGGCGTTACATAAATCATAGTTCAAAAGTTTCTGCCAGGATTAGCTTCTTAAGCGCATGTGGACTTTCGGATTCGTATTCGATTTCAACTCGCCCGCCGCTCTGTGCTCGGATTTCCTAATTAGTGTGTGGCGTGCCCAGGGGAAATACTCCTTCGCATTGTCAATGCCAGACTTCAGACTCCGGACTCCAACAGGTGTGCTCATCCCTTTTGTCTTTGCTCCTCTCTTGCAGGTATCATGAAATCCACAATTTCATTGCTGCTGGTCGTCATCTGTACCGTAGTCCTGGCAGCCCAACAGAGCCAAGCGAAAAGTAAGTACATCGTAAAAATTAGCTACTTAAAACTGAAGAATAGTTAAATTTTTGTTAGTTTTTAAGTGGCAGTTTATATTTACAGACTACTTGACGAATTATTATTCAATTTTTGTCAAGTAATTATGGGTCTTAAATTGTATAATCCACTGATAAGTTAATCAGGCTTGTTCCGGTTTCTAAACCAAACGTAAATGATTTAGGGCCTTAAAATGATAACAATAATAATTAATGGGTTTTCTCAAGGGCTTTAAATCAATTACAGAACAGTTGTTTATTTCTTCTTCATATAATTTTGAAGAACTTCTAAGTTTTAAAATGGCCTTTCATAAAATAAGAACATTTTTTCAAAGTGCACCCGCTTTTATACTTTTAAAGCTGTTCTGCTGGAAATATTCAGGTGAAGCTCCCATGAAATATTCATTAAATTTAGCTCGAAAAACAAAGCCATAAATGGGTGTCGTCACCGATGCACATCCGCATCATCCTCGCCCATCGAGGCGGCATCAATTGTTGCAGTTTAATACAAGACAAACAAATGTGCCACACGGGCGTCTTTGTTTTTCCAGCTGCGGAAAAGTTAAATGGCAAAAACAAGAGCTTCGAGGTAAAATGGAGGGTTGCAATTTCCGTTTCCCTTGCAAGTTGCCACCATCTCTCAGTATGTGTGTGACATCTATATCTGCTGAAATTATTAATAGAGAAAGTCAACCATGCAAGTTTCCAAAGACCCAGCCTTCAGTGGCCATTCCATCAGATTCCCCATTTGCTTCAATTACGAAAACTTTTTGATTTGATGGCCTTTGAAACGGCATTTAAGATGATGGCTAGCAAACTTATTTAGGAAAATTGTGTAAGGCAGACACAAAAGGAAGTCAGAAGTCAGATACCCTGATTTAAATTTAGTTTGATAATCAGCATACATACTGAAAATTAGCAATAAGGTAAAAATATGCTCAAATAATAACAAAGATTAAAAAAGTCTGTAGAGACTATGGGTAACTTTTCAGTACCAAGACTCCTAAAGATTAAACAAACAACCTTTCAACTTAGGGTAATCCTCCCAACCAGCCATAGCATTTACATTGTGCGTATGTCAAGGACAACTCCCAAGTGTGCAACAGGAAAATTTATGCTTGCCGGTGTGTGGGCGGAAATTCAAAAATAGCAAAAAGTCAAAAGTTTGTTCACACACAACGCATCAGACAAGCAAACAGAATGAAATTGAACCGTCATGGGGTCAAATGGTTATCGGAGGATGTCTCTCTTGAGCTTTGGCGAGCGATTAAAGATTTCGGCATCACAGGAGCAGTCTATCTCCCAGCAATGGGCAAAATATTGTGGGTGGTGCTCTGGGAAATGCACACGCAATGGGCTCAATTTCAAGCAAAAGGATGGGAGGTCCTGATATCGATTTGGTGCTGAGCCTGTAATACTCAAAAGGCCCATTTATAGCTTTTAATAGCTAAATAACATTTTTAAAGTATGCAATTAATATATTTGATTATTTATAAATGTTTATTTCAGTGTTATAAATATCAGAGACCCCAGACTATAAGATTTTAATTCATTAATAAAATATTTTGGAATTTCTAAGTCAATTTGTATTACAAAAAGTTCATAAAATTATTTTTTAATATGGCATTATTAGCTTTAAAAAATATAATTATGCATTTATCATTTCTACATTTAAGACATTAAAAATGTAAGCACCACTGCTGCTGTGACTAACTCACTTTTTCAAATCTTCACAGAGGGATGCCAAGCCTTCGGACATGTATGCTACGGCGGTCATGGCAAGCGTTCCCTTAGTGCCGGATCTGGGACCGGTACGGGAATGGGAGAAACAGCCTCCGGTGGTCAGGACCAGGACTATATCCGTCCAAATGGCTTGCTGCCGATGATGGCGCCGAACGAACAGGTTGCGGTGGCGCCTGAGGGCGACTTTAATGACTATCCCGCCCGACAGGTGCTCTACAAAATCATGAGATCATGGGTAGGTGCCACACACAGCGACAAAAATATTTAACATTTTATACATTAAGCAAAAAATTTGAATTAATATTAACAAGTATAAAGATATAAATATTCATTAAATTTTAGAATAAGAATAAGAATTTAAATTTGTAAATTTTGAGATGTACTTTTTTGTGTTTTTTATGCATTTAATATTTTTATAGTAAATATTTTTTTCATTTTTATTCTAATTAAAAGTTCAATCGCCCTCGACGACCGGCCACCCGTCTGGGTGAACTGGATTATCCTTTGGCCAATTCCGGCGAAATGAATGCCCTAAACTAAGGCCAGAAAATCACCTAGACATTCACCATTCCTCAACCTGCAACAAAAAATCAAGAACAGGAACTAACCTCAAGAACAGGAGCAACAACAACAACAACAGACAGACAACAACATCAGCAGCAACAAAAACCATATGAATTACTAATGAATGTTAATTACTTTCGCAACTTGTATAAAATGTTTGATAAATGTCTACACATACAGCAATCAATTTTCATGCTAATTGCTTAGGCATCAAACAACTAAGTAAAAAAAAAACTGAAATTTTTAGGGGCTGGTAAGGATTTCAGTGCAAAAAAAAAAAGAGAACAGTACGAAGGCGACGAAAAATAAAACAAAGAAAACGGCAATGTTGTGTTTCAAATTTATATAATAAATACATGCATATATACATATATTATTTATGTTTATTTACGAGGAAAGCGAAAGACTACATATAGTTGTAATTACTTTAAATAAAAATAATATTTACTCCAACATTATACCGAAGAGCGATGCATATCACATCGGAAAACTGTGTAATTATATATGTTAATCGTTATAAGTGTATATGTAAATTCCAAAAGCGCAACATAAAATATTGTGTACAAGAGTTTTTATTTGTAAAAAGAAGCGTGGTTTAAAAATATATTATGTGCTAGAAAAGAAAAAAAAAAAATACGTGTCTTTTTATTAAAATCCATTTGATTTTATATTTAATCCTTAATTATTATTAATTTTTTTTTATTTAACATCCACATTAACTACTAAATGGGTTAGGGAACTACATGGAATTGAATTTTTATATATTAGATTTCATTTCATTTTAGTTAAAAATGTTAGTGGCATCTATTGTATATATTTTTTGCTGTGTAGAAGTAATTAAAAAATCTATTTTAATATTACTTTAATATATAATATTTAATATTTAAGGAAATGAGTAGTTTTTCATAGAGTTTTAGTTGTTTTACAATTTAAAGTTCAAAATTGCTTAGAACGGTAATAACCGTGTTTTGCATCATGCAGCTTATAGTCACGCAAAGGGTTTCTTAAGATATGGCAACTCTGTTTCCATTCTGGCAGCGCCAATCTCAAAATACATTTAGTGTGGCCAACTACCTCCATTTAAATAAGCGAACTGGTCTCACTGCGTCACACGTGCTTCAACCGTAAACATTTGATTCGTTAAATGGTTTATTTTCTAAAATAACTACAAGAAAATGATGCACCTGCCGACGGATGACAAGCCAGAGGCGGCAGAGCCTCGTTCCGTCTTCAAGGAGAGCAGCTGCATCTTCCGGCGGAACCGGGCGCTCGGCTATGTGAGCAATCAGGTTCCGGCCGTTACCCGCTATGTGCAGCGCCGGAGAGACACGCTCCTGATCACCTGCATCGGGCGATCCTTCCAGGTGTACACGGCCAGTCACTTCCGGCTGATACACGTCAGTGGCCTTCATCCGGACGAGATTACCGCCCTGGCCACGGACCGCATGTACACGTACACGGCGAGCAACAAGTGCATCTTCGCCTGGCGAGCGGGCAAGCACATCCGGCACGTGTACCGCGGCCATCAGAAGGATGTCCATCTGCTGCTGCCCTTCGGCTCCAATCTAATTGCCATAGATAGGGATAATGTCATGAAAGTGTGGAACATACCCACGGAGGATGTCTATCTGGAGGTGCCCTTTCGCCCCGAGGAGTTCCAGATCACTGCGGTGGCCCATCCGCCCACGTATATTAACAAGATAGTGCTGGGTTCCCAGCAGGGTCAGATAAAGATCCTGAACATCAAGAAGAACACCGTGGTCTGCACCTTGAGCCACAGCGAGAGTAGGATCACCTGCATCGAACCGGCTCCTGCTTTGGATGTCGTGGCCGTGGGTCACGGTGACGGTGCAATCGTTCTGCTGAACCTCAAGTTTGACGAGGTGCTAATGGGATTCCAGCAAGACTGGGGACAGGTCACCAGTCTCGCCTTCCGCACGGACGGACCACCGATCCTGGTGTCCGCCTGCAGCAACGGTTACATGGCCTTTTGGAACCTGGAGGAGCACAAATTGGCCGGCCAACTGCAGGCCCACGAGGAGTCGGTGACCACTGCAATTTGTCTGCCCAGTGAGCCTGTGGTCTTCACCACCTCGCCGGACAACTCGATGAAGACGTTCGTCTTCGACATGCCGGACGGTGGAGCGAGGCAACTGAGGATAAGAGAGGGTCACACAAAGCCACCGCTCTGCATTAGATACCATGGCAGCTCGGGAGTGTCCATTCTCTCCTCCGGCGAGGATAGCACCATGAGAGTGTTCTCCACCATTGCCGAATCGCTGAACAAGAGCATGGGCAGGGCCACCTATAACCCGAAGGCAACAAAAAAGAAGAGTGAGTAAATTTACTGCAGATCCATTGATTTTATTTCAAGTATTCTTCAGACCGCTTCCAGTACGATAAGTTCTCCATGCCCCCCATCCTGGAGTTCACCTCGGACACGGCACGCGAGAAGGAGTGGGACAACATAGCCGCCATTCATGCGGGCATTATTCAAACCACCACCTGGACGTTCGACAAGAACCGCATGGGCGAACACCGCCTGGTGCCGAAGCAGTTCCACAACAAGAACCGCAGCGATTTCCAAAGCGAGACCACCTGCCTGGTGCTTACCCACTGCGGCAACTTCGTCATTGTCGGCTATAGCACCGGGGACATTGAGCGCTTCAACATTCAGTCAGGAGCACATCGTGCCAGCTACGGTTCCCCGGGCCACCAGAAGGCAGTGCGCGGCGTAGCCAGCGATAATCTGAACCAGACAGTGATTTCCGGCTGCTCGGAGGGTCTCGTCAAGTTCTGGGCTTTCAAGGGAAAAGTTGACAAGCCAGTAGCAATTCTTCGGCTGGCGGATGGAGTTGCCATGATGCGGCAGCACCGCGAAAGCTCCATGCTAGCCATCGGCCTCGAGACCTTCAAGGTGTTCGTGCTGGACATGCACACGCGTGTGATTGTGCGAAAGTTTGTCGGGCACACCGCCAGGCTGAATGACCTCACATTCAGTCCGGACAGCCGTTGGCTGATCACCGCCGCAATGGATTCGACGATAAAGGTGTGGGACATACCCTCCTCCTACATGGTAGATCACTTCCGAGTGGAGGCGCCCTGCGTTTCGCTGACCATGTCGCCCAACGGCGACTTTCTCGCCACAGCGCATGTCAATCTGTTGGGCATTTACCTGTGGGCCAACCGGACGCTCTTTAACCAGATTTCCCTGCGCTCCATCGATCCGAGGGAGCCGGCTCCTTATGTGGGCTTACCCACCAATGTGTGCGATGCTATGGGATTAGAGGATGGCTTGCAGGAACTGGAGATTGACGACGAGGATGAGACTAAACTGGGCGAGCTTATCGATGCCAAGTACGAGACTCCCACTCAGCTGTCCAATGAACTAATAACGCTGTCCGGCTTAGCTGCATCGCGGTGGCAGAATCTGCTGGATCTGGAGCTGATAAAGCAGCGCAACAAACCTAAGGCACCGCCAAAAGCTCCCAAGCTGGCTCCATTCTTTCTTCCCACAGTTTCAGGCCTGGAGCTCCGCTTCGATGTGGAGAATGGGCAGAAACCGGATGATAGCTCACGCATCAAAAAGGCCTCCACGCTGAACAATCTAACTGCCTTCGGACAGCTGCTGGAGGGAACAGCGGACAGTAAGGACTTTGCGCCCGTAGTCACGCACCTCACCCAACTAGGACCCTCGATGATAGACTTTGAGATCAAGTCGCTCCATCCGGAGGCTGGAGGTACTCTCCTCGCCATGGTGCAGTTCCTTAAGCTCGTGGAGTTTATGTTTGGAACCAATCTGAACTTTGAGCTAGCGCAATCCTACCTAAGTGTCTTCCTGCGATCCTACGGCTTTGGCTTGGCGGAGTCCCCGGAGTTGGTGAAAGCGCTGCGCAGAGTTTCTCATGTGCAGCAGGCTGCCTGGCAGCGGGTCGAGGAGAAGCTGATCTACGGCACGGGCGTTGTGGCTGCCCTCAGGAACTTTGCGCATTAGTTTGTAGTAACTACACGTGTTCTTGTAGAGATATTAACGAATACATATTGTAAATAAAGTTACAAGACATTTTAATCTATGTTTTTTACTTTGGATTATAACCTCGACTTCAACTGAGAGAGAATGAGGGAGTTCCGATCTGATACCTTTCTTGCATTCCGTTTTCTATGGAGCTCTTTAGTTTCTGATTACATGTTTAAGCTTTAATGTGGCTTCAAACCTGAGAGAATAGTTTGAATGGAAACAGACAGATGGCTAGATCGACTCGGCTATTGATGATGGCCAAGAATCTATTTACTTTATAACTAAAATATCCACAAGGGTGCAAACTTTGAGAACTCAAAGTTTGAATATTTATTACTTATTCTATTAATAAATCAAATCAACCAACCCCCACTCCGACTTATATATTTACTTTTTATCTTCGGTTAATCCCAGATAACAGTTTAAATACTGTACCCCATAAGAACTGGAAACGGTGGCCAGTCAAATTAATCACGCCAGGCACTTTTACGTCTGCCGTACGCCAGATATCTCCAATTCGAATTAGGCGAAATGATTCATCCCCCAGATGACTGTGCACCCGATAATGAAATTAGATAACTAAGGCAGGGGAGAAATAATATACTACAGCTTGGTTGAAATTGTGTATTAATTATTTATTTGTTATATCCGTTTAAACTAACGCTTTTATTTATGCTGGAATTAAATAACTTAAACTTGTTTCTAGACGCGTTCGCTGGCGCGGACTTTACATACGGTTCTAGTGGCGGCTGATTTTGCGTTTCAGTTTAGTTTAGTTTCAGTTTCAGTTTCCGTTTTTTGATTCTTTGACAATCCAACTCAACATAAACGAAATGAAAATGTTCTCATTGGTTTTCGAACAACCACGCGTTATAGACATAGTGCATATATCTGATAAGTTCTTTGATTTATACCTAAATATCGTAGCTTGCATGAAATAACGTTAGATCTCGATTGGTTGTCTCCTAGTGTGTTTGCTTGGGTGCTTAAGGGGAGTTCTTCGGCCATTGCAAGCGCAGTTACAGTGTTCAGGGAGCTGGTTTACATATTTTTACTGCTGGTTGATTGGGTGTATTATAGGGGAAGTGAGTTGTCCGGAGTGCAAACACGCAGCGGGGGCGCTTAACTCGATGTACACTGCTGGACACGGGGACCATCCTGATAGCCACCATCGTCCTCATCGTAGGCCATGCGCTGGTGTTGCTGGCGGCGTTGCTTGGGATCGAAGTCCTCCTGCAAAAACCCATAGAATATATGCATTAGCAGGGAAGTTATTATAATTTTTCTTTGCTTTAAAACTCACCAAAACCGTCTGCTCTGCATCAATTGGAATGTCAACCTCCGGCGCCGGCGGCAGGCACTGTTTGAGCGTGGGCACCACAGACGGATTCATCACCTCCGGGAAGATCACCTCAAACTGAATAATCAGTGTACCCTTCTCCATGGGATTCTTGAAGATTGGCATGCCCTCTTCCGCGATGCACTTGGTCATCTCGTGCCGAATAACCTCTCCGGGCTGGGTGGAAACAATAAGATCGCGGTCGTCCAGTGTTTTGACGATGCGCTGGAATCCGCACAGCGCCTCGACAAGCTGCAGTGGCATCTTCATCATCAGATCCTGGCCGGCGTGCGCAAAGGTCGAGTGCTCTTTCTCGTCCAGCAAAATAATAATATCACCCGGCTGAGATTCCGGTTCGTGATCGCCCTCGCCCGTGAACACGATCTTCTGTCCATCCCGCATTCCCTTCTCGATGTGGACCTCGAGTACCTTACGTTCCCGCACAGTTTTGCGACCATTGCAGTTCTTGCAGCGATCCTTCTCCTGGATGGTCTCGCCAGTTCCAGCGCACTTGCGGCACACCTGCTCGATGTGCTGCATGATGCCGGGGGCAATCTGCTGGACTCGGGTCTCCACACCGTTGCCCCTGCACTGCATGCACTTCTCGATGCTTCCCTTCTTGCCGCCGCGGCCCTCGCACTTGTCGCAGATGACGTTCTTTTGGAGCTGAAGTTTCCGAGTGGCGCCGTTGTACAGCTCGTCCAGCTGCACGGACATCTGGTGCACCACATCCTTGCCGCGCCTCTCGCGCCGCCTACCACCGCCGCCGCCACCGAAACCGGCGCCAAAGAACTTCTCAAAGAAGTCCATGGGATTGCGGAAGTCTCCGGAATCGGCACCGCCCTTCTTGATGGCCGCCTCGCCGCCGTCATCGTACACCTGGCGTTTGTCCGCATCGGACAGCACCTCGTACGCCTGCGAGATGGCCTTGAACTTCTCGCCCTCATTTGGGTTCTTGTCGGGGTGGTACTTGAGGGCCAGCTTCCGGTAGGCCTTCTTCAGCTCATCAGGCGTGGCATTCGGCTTTACGCCAAGCAGATCGTAGTAGCCGGTTTCCTTGACCATCTTGTAAGCTGTTTACTGCAAAGTAACGAAGCGGAAAGGGTAAATATCCACACTGAAGAGGTTTGTAAGATACTACGTTTTTGTACTGACTTGTAAAACGATTTCAAAATACTTATTTATTTTACGACTAGTAGAATATGCAAAATTTACAAAGAGGTCAAACTGAATCTTTAAGTTTCAAACATCATTTAAAAAGAATGCAGCGCCTACTGACTAATGGGATTTGAAAACATGGCATCAAGAATTTTATAGAATTGAGAATGTTTGAAAACAATAGCATATGTTTAAGTTAATGAGACATTTGAGAGTTTCGTAGGAACGATTAATATAGTTATAGCAATTTTGTATTCAATATACTCCGAATACTTTTGCGGCATTTGTGTATTTTGAAATCTTAAGGGGTTTCTAAGAACTGAAGAATATTATTATAGCGATAAAACCTATAAAATGATGACTCAGAAATAGTGCAGTGTGCACTTGAACAGTGTTATAGAACACTTTTTGTATAGAATATCTTTTGATAAACATCTAGAGATGATCAAAATTTTACTGCTTCCAATCTTTGCTTACTTTGATCTCGATTTTACGATCATTCTCGTTGTAGGTTTATTTTCTCCCGGTGTAGGTGTGGAAGTGGGAAGGGGGACGCTATTGCCGGAAGCTAGAGCCCGGGTTTCAAGGTCAGACCGCCGCCATGTGTGTGCGAAAATAACTGCGCCGTTTTCTAGACAATTTCTAGAACGTTTTTTGCCCATTTCAATACACCGCGAGCAGCTGACGCTCTCTGCCCCTTGCCACCACCCCTCTCTTTCGCACACGCACACATACAGACAGTTTCTAGAAAATTTCGTCAGCCCGACGCAGCCCTGGTTGCGAACGGCGACCGTAAAGCAAAGAGAGCGATAATGAAAAACCATAGAACTACATGAAAATCGGACAAAGGGGAAAGGGCATTCACTCGAAAATGTTTAAATGAATTAAAGAGAGCTGTGCTCATTGAAATACCACGTTTTCGCAAGTCACAAACGAGAAAATCATATTTTTTACCAAAGAAAGTTAACATGTACACACCTTCACATACAGTCCGTGTGTCTGTGTAGGTACCAACATGTGCCGCGCAAGACGCTGCGTCAGAATTATTGAACAAAAGCCCAAAGGAGGAGGAAGAAAATTGGCAGCATTGGCCGAGGGCCATCGATTTTACAAAACCCAAAAACCAAAAGCGCATCACACAAAAAAAAACAATTATCGTTGATTACTTAACGAAAAAAGAACAGAGGAAAAAGGAAGTGTCTACCAAATACACACACATGCATACACTCTCACGAAAATGGGAAGCGAAATGTGCAAAATCACTTGAAAATATCCGAATGCCTCTTACCTCTTCCTCGTGTTGTGTGCCTAAAGAAATAACGGATATTTGCAGCTGCGTTCCTCGAGAGCAACTCTTTATACAATAATTTTAAATATACAAGTACTTTTCTACAGCTTACTATGGCCGCCACGCTTGGAAAAAATTCGTAGTGTGACCAAAGTGGTTCACTACGAGAATACGCTAAAAATAAACATTTCCGTTTTCGGGGATTATTAGGTGAAGCTAAATGTACAACTATGAAGTTGCCACACTGCCATAAATATGGTATTTTTTTTGTCAACAGCTGATAACCGGTTATTTGGTCACACTATTTGGTTGCAACCTATTATTTAATAAACATTTATAGTGAAATTGCTGAAATAAAGCAAAACAGCAGAAATGAGACACGTACAATTTCTGGCCCGCACCGTTCTGGTGCAAAACAACAATGTGGAGGAGGCCTGCCGCATGCTAAACCGCGTTTTGGGCAAGGAAGAACTTCTCGACCAGTTCCGGCGCACACGCTTCTACGAAAAGCCCTATCAGGTGAATTTCTGACTCTTAAAAGAAATATATTTATTAATTAATTGAATAAACTATTTCAGGTGCGTCGCCGTATCAATTTCGAGAAGTGTAAGGCAATATACAACGAGGACATGAACCGCAAAATTCAGTTCGTTCTGCGGAAAAATCGAGTTGAGCCCTTTCCCGGTTGCAGTTAGTTTATATTATCGTCATTTAAATAAAGTGTAGAAAACCTGTAAGAGATCTGTAGTCTTTGATATAGGCTTTTTTAGTTATACAATCCTGCCGACAATTATAAGACACTCTGAAAGATTTATTTTTGAGCCTTGCAGGAAAATCAGGAAGCATATTACAACAAAATCAAATATACTGAATTGAAGCTTAATGAATTCTGCTTAAAATCTGATTTTCTTATCTCATATAGCGTTAAAAATAGCACAAAAGCCTGGTGCTTAGCATGCCTAAAACTGTATCAAAACAATACGACACGTGAATTTTTTTCAATTTTCCTAATATTTTATTCCAATAATGGTAAATAAAAAATCGTTTAATGTTTAATAGAGCTTTCATAAGCCTTTGCAACATTTAAAAGTCTCTTAGGCCTTGAATTCACTGAATTTTTAGGTAAATATTGTTCCACTCTTTATGGTAATCTTTTATGAAGCGCTGGGTCTCTCTCTCTCTCACGGTAAATCGCTGTATTATTCTGCATAAAAAGAACATATTCTTCCATATTTATTTCCAAAAATGTTAAAAGACGATAAAACAATACCTTTTTGTATACTCCACTGTTCATCTTGGATTTGTGAAGCACAGATTAAGCGTTCTAGACGCATGAAAGGCTCCCCAAAACATTGCGTATACGCCCCCGAAACTGGGCCGTCAAGATTATTGTTAAGGGGGGGGTAAGGTTAATTCGGTGCAAAAATGCCCACTTTTCAAAAAAATGTTGTGGCGAAACGGCTAAAGCTAGCTTAACGAATTAAATACCATATAATAACACAACATTTGAACAGTTTGTGATAAATTTTGTATTGAAAAATATTTAGAGGTAGAGGAGTTATAGGGAATCTCCCGAGTCGCCTCCAAAAAAAGTTGGTTTGCGGTGTACATCCTAACTGTCCACAGAATCATCCGATCTACAAAAATTATACCTCATTCGTTAAAGGATAAGTGTCCCGAGGTATTCTCGAAGCGTTTTTATTTTTAAAATTTTTTCCCTATTTTTTATCAAAATTTGAAGTCAAAACCCCGATTTTTGACTAAAAAATTAAGTTAATTTGTTAAATAAAAAATATAAGAAAATTAAAAATTAAAAAAAGCTCGACGAGAATACCTGTAGAATTATCTAAAGAAGTTATGTTCCAAATTTCAAACCGATTGGTTTAGTATATTTTTAGTTATCGTGTACACCGATTTTCAAAATGGCATTTTTCAGGAGAGCGCTTTAAACTTTGTGATTCTCATGCATTGAACACCTACCGACCTTCGTTCAGCTCCGCATAACTTCGTCAATTTTACTATGATTGATGTAAAACTTGGACACAATATTCTTAAAATATTGAACTTTTAAAATAAAAAATAAAAAAAAATTTACGAAAAAAAAAATTAAATACCTTACCCCCCCCTTAAGAGAAGAAATTATCTAAATGAAAATTATTTAAAAAAAACCGTATAATAGAAAAACGTGTTAAAATTTAAGCTTAAATTCGACATACTTCACATCCCGATTTTCCTACGAGAGTCGAAAGTAAAATTTTCGGGGTGTCGTTAAAAAACAGGCAAAAGAAGCACATGAAGATATGAATTAATTTGGGATTCAAAAAAGTATATTGATTATCGTCAATTGCATTTCAATAAATTATTTGAATTGTAGATTTACTTAATACAAAACAATAATTTTGCACTATGAAGATGAATAAATAATACATTTCCCGAACCATTTATTTTTACGGAACAGCTTTAAAATAATGGAAAAATGAATTAATATTAAAATACAAATTTATTTAAGTCGTATATCCGCTTCTCAGTCCTTCGTTCCTTGATGAGCTTTTGCGGCAAGAGAAAGCTTTCGGCAGCCGTTTTCTAACGGTGTTCGTGCTCCGCTTATAATATTTTTTGCCCTCGAACGCTACAGACGTGTCTTCGCTTTCTCGTAACCGTAAATCGTAGAGGTAAAATTGCTTTCCTTTCATTCAGAAGTTTGGTCAATGCTTTAAAAGCGAAATGCATAGTATAGCAAAACGTTAGCATACTTCTTTGGGAAAGTTCCGTTGAATGACCGTGTGTTTGGGCCACAAAGTGCATTATTTTTGTGAAAGTGTGCAATTTGTGTGTGTGTGTGTGCACGAGTTGAGGGCTAGAGAAATTCTCCGGTGGCCCTTTAATTCAAAAGATTCCCCAAACGTGCCTAAGTGATTTTCCCCATTGCATCGATAATTCGCTTATGCGGCCAATTTACTCAATTTACACTCGAGCGTGTCTCTGTGTTGGTGCAAGAGAGTGGGGGGGAGGGAAATGGAGGGTCCATCAAAGTTGGCATGTTCTACTGTTCTGCTTTGTTGTTGCCTCGTTCTTCTTGGCGTTTTTATTATTTTTACTGCTTACTTGGTCCGCTTTGTTGCTGCCTTATCGATTTCTTGTGTTATTTTTAGCGTGATTTGCATATGTATGTATGTGCGTGCTCTGCCTGTATGTGTATGTGTGTGTGTGCTTTTGTGTCCAAGTTGTTTGTGCTTGTTTTTGCGCTTCCTTTTCAGTTTCCTTTTGCAGGCCATGTTTGTGCTGGCGTAATCGAATCTTGGCTGCTAATCAAATGAATTACGTCGTGTGTCACTTTCAGTTTTTTGGGATTACACGTCATGGCGGCGGGCAATCTGTTGGCCATCCTCCTCCTGGGCAGCCTCTGCATGGCCCACGCATATCCGGCATTGTTGCCCTACATTTACAGTGAGTACCGTTATCATCATTTTACGTCTTAAAAAATGCCGGCTAAAAGCACCTTTTTTGTTTATATGTAAAAGCGAAAGTTATTTTTTATGTTATATTGTATTATTAATATTTATTTTATTTGTATTTTAATTTTCATATACACAGGTCCTTCCAAGCGGAATGGCGTCGACTTGACTTTCCCCCAAATCGAGGACGATGTGAGTGAACTAGACCAGCTGCGAAATGAGCCAGGAGCGGTCTTGTCCAAGCGACAGCAGGACGGAAGCACGGCCCGAACCACCACCACCACCAAGGAGAGCGTCGAGGAAGTGGCTGCTGCTCCAGAGCCTGGTCAAAGCCCAAATCCGAACATCCTGCCCGACCTGGAGCGACAGCTGGAAGTGGCTACACCTTTGATTTCAACCACTACAACGACCAGCACTTCGGCTACTACGACAACGGCCACGTCCAAGGAGGAGGGTGAAAGATCCCAGCTGGAGGAGCCCAAGACCCAGATTAAATCCGTGGTGGAGCCTACGGCCCATGCCAAGGTAAGTGCCGTTCCCTAATCCCCTAGAGAAGCCTCCCTTAGCCCGCTTGCTGTACTCCTGGTAAACTCCTCCTCTTTTGCTAAATCCAAGTGTATATCCACGAAACCACCCAAAAATCAACAGGCATTTTACGGGGCAGCTCGTCTAGCCTTTGGTCAAAATCCGGAGGTACTACCAACGACTACCACAACCAGTACAACGACAACTACAACGACTACGACACCAGCTCCTCCTCCAGCAGAAGCGGAGCCAGCAGCGGAGTCCAAGTCGGAAACAGAGTCTGAACCTGAAGCTGGAACGGAAACGGAGGCAGAGTCCACCGTAGATGTGGCCGGAGAGCCAGCCGAGGCGGAAGATCCCATTGGCGAAGTAGCCGAAACCGAACTGACCGCTTTGAATCCGCCCAAACCAAAACAGAATCACCATGAGCCCAACAAGGAGACCATTGGGGACATCGTCTTCGATGTGGTGGCCCGAACAACTGAGCGCAGGTCCAGCACGCCCAAGATCACGGCCAAGGTTCTTATGAATAATCACAGATAAATCCATAGATCAGCACACAAACAAATTGTGTCCTCAATATCCTGACCGTAGAAGGGATTCCCACAAAAATTAAACTAATTGGAAATATAAACTTTATATTGGCAAAATGAAGAGAAAAGAAACACATGAAAAATCATTGATTATATTGGCAATAAAAACTTTTAACAATGGAACTTAACACATTTTCCGGTCAACCAAATATGTATATTGGCAAACATCTTCAAAAAACTTATTCATTATCTCAAAGAAAAATCCTTGAGCCCCATGAAAGTCATAATGTACTTGAATCAGTATCTATTTTAAAATTCAAATAAACACAGAGATTGGTAAACCAAAATGCATTTCAGGCACACCCAATAAAACAAATGAACCCAACCTGCTAAACATTTAATACATAAACTCTCATTTAATTATAATTATAAATATTGTATATACAGAGTGTTCTTTCATCGTTTTCTAACTTTTCCCATTTCAGACCGTGCAGCACTTGCTGCGCAGTCCAAATGGCCAGTACTCCTCCTTTGACATGGCGCAGTACATTTTCTGGACTGGCGATGAGACAGCTGTGGTGAAGGCTGTGGAAGAGCTGGTTGAAGGAAAAGTGGTAAGTTTTCCCACGCTGTTAGGTTTTAAATTATAAATTTTATAAGAATGTATATAAGTTTTCATTTACTGGGATATTTATTCTTCTTTAATGCATTTTAAACAAGTTTGTATAAAGAGATCGTTAAGTTAGTGCCTGATTTCACAAATAGATTAAGTTTTTCGTGATATTGACTTAGTCTTTCATCGACTGATAATAATAATGACTGAAGCCATGAGGCTTTATGAGAGGAGTCTCAAAATGGGAATGGCACCTTGGCGGTCCAAAATGTTGGTGGAACTTTGGTGGCCCAAAATGTTGATGACATTTGGGCGGTCCAGAATGACATTTCGGGGGTCCGTGGGAATGGCAGCCGAAGGGCGGCGAGTGGTGGTGGTGCCCATGGTGATGTCCATGATGCCACTGATGTCCAAAAGCTGGCCAGTGATGTGCATGGTGTCCGTGATGTCCATGGTGTCCATGATTTTCTTGGTTAATCTTGTGGCGACCACAGTGGGAACGTTTTTCTTCTTGCGGCGGATGCATGTTAAACTTTGTTAAAAAATTGGTTTTATTATATTTTCCTTTAGAGATCTTCTCCCTATGAAAGTTGGCTTCGAATTGATATTCCCAGTGCTTTAACGGACGCTTTTTATACTCAGCTGGCCCTGACACACCAAACATTTTGCGATTAAATAGTATTCATTGTTTATCTAATCGGCTTGGGTTTGTTTTCATATGGCGAGCTGCGCAATAGGTCTTGAAATATTGCAATAATTTGGTGTAATTAAATGTCAAGTTTGTTATTATTTTTAGTCTTTTATATGTAATAATAATTGAGGTCTAGAATATTGCATTATTTATGTTTAATTAGTAACAACCATCACAAAGTTTGCTTTCTGGGGGCAAGATATACTTTTATTTATGGTAAAAACTTTAATTAAGTGTGAATTATTATTTTTGTATTAATAATATTTTTTTGTTCATGTAATATTTTTTATTTTTCCTTTTTTTTTTTGTTAAGTAATATGACTGGGTTAAAATGCTATACTTTCTTGCTGAAAATGTTGTGAAATTCTCAAAAAACCGGTTTTAATGGGTTGTAGTAAATTCTGGTCTTATGTTTGTCAAGCTGTGAATTTATCTTTATTTATAAACCTAAGTATTTTTTTTTATAAGATTTAATAATTAAAAGTATAGAAGTATTTATATTAATTTTTTTTTATATTTATTGTTGTCTAAGTCTTAAGACAGGGAGAAAGTTATGAAAATAGTTCGTAATGTAAAGCAAATATAATATTTATAATTATTTATTTATATGTATAAAAATCGTACAATTTTGTTCCAGATCACCCGTGAAAGCGCCCTTAAATTCCTGCAGGACATTCGGCTGGGCATCGAGTTCCTGCAGCGGTCCTATGCCAATCGCATCTTTCCCGAGGAAGTTCGCCAGAACCAGCTGAAGCGTCATAGTCCGCCCAGCACTAGGCCCCCAACCACAACCACAACAACTACGACGACAACTAGCACAACCACGGAGAAGCCCTTCCCAGAAGTAAGGGAATCTGGATCCCAAACCGGGATGCCACAAGAGGCAGGAGCAGCTCCCATTAAAAATTTCGATAGCTTCACCTTCTGGAACAAACTAAAGGTTCTGGACAACGAAGCACAGCAAGGTTGAAAAGAGACTAATCAAAGATAAATTAAATAGGCATAAAATGTAAACTTTATTACATCCCCAGATCTAACCGATTATGATGAGGGTCGGGCCAAAATTGTGGAGTACTTGTATAATGAATATTCGCTGGAGGAGATACTCTACAAGCTGGCCAAGGTAAGATGATAGTACTATTATGTATGTATTCCGATTGGGACTCATTTTATTTTATTTGAAGGTGATGTTTGCCCAATCTCTGTCCCATGGTTCAGATGAGGCTCAAATGGAGCTGCAAAAGCTCACGGAATTCTTAGAGCGCGAGGGCAACATGGGTGTCATTCCCCTCGATTTGCAGAAGAAAGTCTTAAGTGAGTTGATCATGCATTCAACATAAATTGTATTTTATATATTTCAAGTTCTTAATAAGTTAATATAAATTATTATTGTACAACATTCGTTTCTCCACATTTAACAACGATGAGATCCCATCGGCACACTTCGTTTCGTGTTACACAGTCCAATTTCATCACATTTGGCTTAGCTTTTCATGTTCTGATGTCATCACAAGTCTTTCATGGCCTCATAATAATATTGACTGAAATTTTGTCTCTTTGTGAACGAAGATACAAAGCATTTCCTTGGTCCTTGTCCTTGGTGATTCCAATTAATGTCAATTTTATGCTGTCCAAAACGACAATGCCAATGTCGGCGATGTCCACTATTTTCCTGTTGAATATTGTGCTGTTGCTCCTGTTGTGGCGACTCCATTTTGCAGTTATTTTGTAATGTTTAATTAATGTATAATAATTTAGTTTTCCGGTTTCCCAATGGAGAACTTCTCTCTTTGGTTGCTTACTAAGAACTGATTTTCCCACAGCTTTATTAAAAGCTTTTATACTATCTCGCTATAGCGCTGGGCACGCATTTCGTGATAGCTTTGATTATTTTCATGTGGCAAACATCTAGATAGGGCTTGAAATAGTGCTTCATTTGTGTGTAATTAATTGAAACCCAAAATCGGTGTAAATGATTAAGTTTATTCTACAAAAATATACTGCAAAATAATCATTGATATTTTTATTTTAGGAGTTCTCCTAAGCGCACTATCGGACACTTTGACCGAGCATCCTGAGCTGCTGCCGGCGGCGCGCGTCAATCTGGCCAACCCGTATTACAGGCTTCCAATGCATACCCCCAGTCTATAGAGCTCCTCTATGGACAATTATCAGCTAAATACAAATCTCTATATATATATGTTACCACGCATAATCCGCATCAGCTGCTAATGGCATATACCCACTGATCGGCGCTACTCTGGGGAGGCGCACTCTCTGAACTTTAATTAAACTGGGCCCTAAGTTCACCCCGCGATCGATTGGCACCTTCCATTTTGGTTTACGGATTAGCCTACGTGTAATATAGCAAAAAAGATAATGAAAATACTCCCGTGATATTTTTGGTCAGGCAGAGGCTGAGAATAACCTTTTACACTTACGGTACGATAAGAGAATCAAAAACAAAAGACAAACCAAAGAGTAACCGAACCAAAACAAAACAAAACAAAGTAAAACAAAATCATAACTGACGAGAGAGACTTGCGCCCCTTTGAGCTTTTAAAATTAAAATAGATTATCTATATGTATATGTCCAATGTATGCATACGAATTGGCACACTTGCTTATATTTGATATGAGTTTGTTAGTTAGATACAATGAGGTTGAGGTTGAGGTCGCTGGCAAAATCGATGGACGGCCACGGACGACCGTTTGAAGCAGGAAAGGGCTCTGAGTCCGCCTATATCAGTAGCAAATATGTATGGTTATAACCGCTCCACGGACGAGCGTTCTCAGTCGTAAATAGTTCTTACTCTATATATGTTCTCCCCCGAATAATTGAGCATTGCATGCATTATTGATGGATTGGTTAAATGATTGATTGCGTTGCGAGTTACATATACGATATGCATATAAGAACTAGAACCTGTATCAACAATTATCGATTATACACTCAATATACATACACATATATATAAATATAACTATAAATATAAATAAAATAAAATATGCGTCCATTTCTTTGGTATTTAACTCTATTGCTCCTTTTTGGGCTCCGGCTTCTTCTCTGAATCCTCCAGCAGCTGGTTAAGACGTTCATCTGTCAGGGGCTCCTTGCTGTTGAAAAGTTTCTCAATCTCGGCCCGCTCGTCTTCAGGTATATCCTTGGCATACTGCTTGGCCAGCTCCTCTAGACGCTGTTGATTCTTCTTCAGATGCCCGGGTAGCCAGAATATGGTTTGAACCATTCTAAAACAGAAATGGAGAATATTATAAGATGTAGGTGGTTCTGAATTTAAATTAAAATTAATTTTAATACTTAGATATTAAAGAAAATTCCTAACAAACTTACTAATAAAGTCTTCAAAGGTTCCCCTTTTGGCAAATTACTTTCTTAAATATATTTTATTTTTAATATTTAGTTCTCAGAGCTCCTTGGAGATTTTTAATCAGGGAATATAATAATATTATAATTTAATTATAATATTAGTTTGCTTAGATTTGTTTTTGTTTTAAAGACTTTGAAAAACAGAGCAATGACAAATACGAAAATTTAAAAATTGTAACTAATACAAAATACTTATATATCCTTACTTAAGCAATATAAATCCGCAAAGGGCCAGAAGCAAACACAGCCCAGATGTCTTAATCATCGTCCAGTAGTCGACCAGAACTTGTTGGTGCTTCATCCTGGAAATATCTCTTGCCTCCACTCGTGACTAAATTAAAACCTCAACTGTCATGTGTGGCCATTGCGACAGGGCCACATCTTCACGGCCGCTACATTGACAATGTTGTGGCCACGTCGTCAGGGGCAGCAGGACCAAGGGATACGTGTATTAAATACCAGGCGACAGACCAATCACATATGGTCACTATAAATCAATAATCCGTTTGTCCTGATTTGATGACCCGGCAAGACAGGAGACAGGAGCTGACCTGTTAACTGGTAAAGACACACAGGTAACTCAATGTTGCAGCAACATGTTGCTGCTGTTGGCGTGTGAAGTCGACCATTTTTGCAGATGGTTTTGTTTTCATTTACTATCGCTTTTTCTATTTTTAACAGTTATCTTTTAAGAGATTTTGGCGTATTTAGAAAATATAGGTAATAATGATAAAGCTAATTAATAGGAATACACTGCGGTATACCCTTATTTAAATTGCTAAATTTGCTAGAAAAGCGAATTGTTTTCATTACTCATATTGGTTTCTTTTTTTTTTAATTTTATAAAATTTTTTGCACAGTAAAATATATAAATGTTAAAGGTAAACTATATAAAAATATTTGAATGTTAATCTTTGTTTTTAAACATGATTTTTTAATAAATACTAGAGCAAAAACTTTTATGTGTAAAAAAAAAATTGCTTTTTTTTTTGGGAATTTCCCACAATAAACGCCTAAGAAATACGCCCCATTTCTTCTTACAAAAACTGGGTATCAAAATAATTGGAAACGATAATGAAATCAGCAGACTGGTTAGGAGGGGGTCTCGCTTTTTTTTATTTAGATTGTAAATTAGAATCCCGCGATTTCAATCAGAACAAGGAGCTGATTAGGCACATGCGTATCTATCTCTCCTATATATTTCCCTGATTTCTTGGGGGGCTGTGACCGGCTAGCCAATAAATCTGATTGCGGGCGACTATCACCGTATAGATAGTGGTCAAGAGGACGCTATAAAAGCCTCAATCCCAAGGCATTCAGACCACAGTTCTGCAATGAGAGGAGTAACACTAAAAGTAACCATATTATTGGTCGGTTTGGGCCTTGTTTTGGCCGGCCAGCGGCCCATCTCGGATTGCGTAAGAACTATATAAATATATATATAAACCAGGATAAAAACTAATTCTGGATTTATCTTTCCAGGGTGAGCGTATCGAGGATGATGGCTACCCGATGGAGCGTCATAAGGTCGTCACTAGTGACAGCTACATTCTGACGATGCACCGCATCCCGTATTCCCCCAAGACGGGCGATAGTGACAACCGCCCGGTGGCCTTCCTCATGCACGGAATGCTTAGCTCTTCCTCCGACTGGGTGCTGATGGGTCCCGAGAGGTCCTTGGCGTACCAGCTGGCCGATGCTGGCTACGATGTTTGGATGGGCAATGCCCGAGGCAACACCTACTCCAAGGCCCATCAGTTCTGGCCCACATTCTGGCAGATCTTCTGGAACTTCAGCTGGAACGAGATCGGCATCTATGATGTCCCGGCCATGATTGATTACGTTTTGAAGGAGACTGGCCAGGAGAAGCTTCAGTATGTGGGTCACTCGCAGGGCACCACTGTCTACCTGGTGATGGTGTCTGAGAAGCCCGAGTACAACGACAAGATCAAGTCAGCTCACCTCCTGGGACCCGCCGCTTACATGGGTAACATGAAGAGCCCCATGACCCGTGCCTTCGCCCCCATCCTGGGCCAGCCTAATGCCATCGTCGAGCTGTGCGGATCCATGGAGTTCATGCCCAGCAACAAGTTCAAGCAGGACATGGGCATCGAGATGTGCCAGGCCACGTCGCCCTATGCTGATATGTGCGCCAACGAGATCTTCCTGATCGGAGGCTACGATTCCGAGCAGCTGGACTATGTGAGTACCTCGAAATTAAGCTAAGCCAGTATATTAAGAGCTAACGAACCTTTTCTCTTTCCCTGTTTTAGGATCTTTTGGAACACATTAAGGCCACCTCACCGGCTGGTGCCTCCGTTAACCAGAATCTGCACTTCTGCCAGGAGTACAACTCGGGCATGTTCCGCAAATTCGACTACACTGTTCTCCGCAATCCCTTGGAGTATGGCAGCTACTTCCCCCCGAATTACAAGCTAAAGAACGCCAAGGCACCAGTTCTACTGTACTATGGAGCCAACGACTGGATGTGCGATGTGAGCGATGTGCGTAAGCTGAGAGACGAACTGCCCAACATGGCTTTGGATTACTTGGTGCCCTTCGAGAAGTGGGCCCATCTGGACTTTATCTGGGGCACTGAGGCCCGGAAATATGTGTACGACGAGGTCCTGAAGCAGATGCAGATCTACGAATAGGTCTATTCTTTACTGGAATAAAATGAACATATAACAGGGACATTAGCTATCATTTTGCTTTGGTCAAATGAAAATTCATAATACTTATGTCTATTCCGAAATAGTCTTGATCCTAGGCGTTACATGTCCAGCGAGATGATAGTTATCCTGCCGCAGAGAGCTAGCTATATATTTTTTATACCCTTGCAGAGTATTATAATTTCAGTCAGAAGTTTGCAACGCAGTGAAGGAGACCTTTCCAACCCTATAAAGTATATATATTCTTGATCAGCATCAACAGCCGAGTCGATCTAGCCATGTCCGTCTGTCCGTCTGTCTGTTTCTACGCAAACTAGTCCCTCAGTTTTAAAGCTATCTGAATGAAACTTTGCATATAGTCTTCTAAATACTCTCACTGCTATATATGTCGGAACGGGCCGGATCGGACGACTATATCATATATATATAGCTGCCATACAAATGTTTGATATATTTTTGAAAAAAAATTATAACTTGGGTGTTTTTCAAAATTGTTGCATCATTTTTGGGATATGGCCATTTTATATTATTCCAGCATTTGCGTTTTGAGTTCAGAAAGAACTCATCAATTTTATATTATTTGATAGCACCCGAGACGCCAATCTCAGGAGGACTTTGCTCTCATTTCTGGCTTTTAAAAAATGAACAACAAACATACAATACGATAATAAGTCAATAAACAGTTATTACAAGAAATCTAATTACATCTAACTTACAAAAATATTATTAGATCCGAATTAATTAATGTCAATTGAGTAATTTATCATTAATCCAGTCAGATGTCATTTTCTCCGTTTCCGAAAACTGTGTAAAGATTAATAGGTTTATAAAAAATCTTTAATAATCGTGCCCTCACCTTTCCAAAAGAAGCCTGAGAGTACTGCGCTTCAGGACAAACATAATGAAAATAATAATGCCGATGCAAGAATCACAGTATTCACATATAGTTATAAGATAATTCAAATCAGCAAAGATTGAAGTTAAGCGAAAGCTCCACTGAATGTCCATAACGATGAAGAGACTTGCAAACATTCTTAACCTGTGATCGGATTGTGGAAAACTCAAGTCACATGATATTTATGTTAAAATAGATCTTACGTGTGCATTCGCGAGTTTATCTTCCTTGCCCTCTCGTCCTGGTCGGAGAAGTGCCTCAGTGAGAGTTTTACCCTTATGATGCTGATAGTGGTCAAAATAATATAGATTGTATTTATTGCCATTAGTATTACCAACGACGTTAAAATAATTCTGCTAAAATAATTATCGACCCCTAAAAATAAGAAAAATATTCTTGGATTTTTTGTGCAAGAAATAATAATACTAACAAAAACCTACCCAAATAATCACAGTTTTCCCAACCAATATGGGACACCCAATCCACCTTGTTGGGATCGCTATCCCAAATCTGATCGATTAGGAAAGGTACTCCCGTCAGGATAGCTGCCGATCCCCAGGCAAAGGTGCTGTAGGCCCCGAAGCTATATTCAGACTCAACTCGATTGACCGATGTAAAGCCTCTCCACAACTGATGGCTCAAAGCCAAGAGCCAACTGAATTTGGCGATGATAAAATAAATCATGGTGTAACCTGTAAATTGAGGATAAAACAATACATTTACATTCCATTTATTTAAATTATAAAACAACATGCATACCTTGTAAAACGCACAACTGGAAATGAATTGGACCTTCTTCCAGCAATGGAAAGAAAAAATGCATAAACGAAGCTGTCATGTAACAGATGAAGCACTTTCCGTGCAGATTCCGGAGCTTCTTTAAGTGAAGATACACTGCGATTGTGAGAACCAAGAAAACTTCTGAAAGGTACAGGACTACATATTTGAAAGATTAGAGGACTGCAAGTTCTTCAAGTAACTCCACTTACGCTCTTTCTGTCCTGGTTTCAGTGATAGGGAGCTCTCATTATACAATTCATGATGGAAGGCAGCAACAAAGGAGTCTGTGTTGCCTGAAGTAAACTGATTTGGATGGAGACAGTCATATCCCCTGAAGTAAAACATGTTCAAACTATTGAGCAGTATACTGCCGTTCTAAGGATATCAAATTAGCTATAGAAGCATGGAACAAAAAGAAGGACTAACCGCGAATAATGTGTACTTCTCATCTCCCCAAAGATCATTAAACCGAAGTCGATCTCTCAACACGATAAAATCTTTTAGCAAGTTCGTTTCTACCACAGATCCATTGATGAGTGTCACGTTAAGGAAGGGATTGATTTTAGCCAACTCCTCCATCAAACCATCTGTGCATTTACTATTGGGTTCATCCCAATCTTTAAAGCGACAACAGATCCATATGCATGGCTTAAGTTGGCAGACACATCCTCGTAGGTGGCTCTTCACAGTTTCATTATAATTCAACTCCGTTGTTATGTAGTCATATTGGCCAGTCAAGTATTCAGGAACCTCGATGTCCTGGTATAGATATGAGCCATTTTGTAGCCTCAGCCAAGACGATATATTCACAGTTTCTAAGAAGTGACATCCAGGAATATCCGGCTTCGTTGCTGGCAGGATAATAAGCTCCACAAATATTCCGAAAATAAAAGAATACAGCTCCATTTTATGGTGCAACAAAATCAACGGGCAAAAATTCTCGACTAATTCCCAATCAGATGGGTGAATGGGTTTAAATAGCTTTCTAAAAAGCAACCACTTTGAAAATAAATACAGAATAAAATGCTTTGCTATCAATACTCCCTCGGAAATATAATTTTATTAGCGATTCTTAACGAGAAATTCTGTTGTTCTTGGGGGTATTTGGCGCCTTGAGGGATCTCAGTCCTTATCAGAGAACCCTGAAGGTTTATATATTATAGAATATTAATTGTATGTATTACATAATTTGAATTCCAGCGGAACAAACGTTTCCTCAGCAAAAGTTGATAGGAGAGAGTGCTCCCATTTTGTATGTGCAACTTTTGTAGTACTCTCCAAAATCCTATGAAATAGGTATTTAGTATTATCTTAAGTAAACGCGACTTATATAATAAAATCTAAGCGAATGAAGTTAAATATATTACAAAATTTCCTACCAACTCATTTTTAAAAATAATTAAAATTAAAAAATCACATTAATTTCAATTATCAAAAAGCTCAAGCTATGACTAGGTAATACCAAATAATAAAAAACACTTCAGTAAGTATTCAAAAATTCACACTTATATTTTTTCGGGTCGCTTTAAAATTAGATTAAATCCAAAATTTCAAAATAAGTAATTAGACTTTTGGCTCCTAGAAAATCCAGAAAGATCAGAATTGCACAAAAGAAAGTTGAATATAATGTAATGCCAGTAAATAATTATTGGTCCGCTTTTAGTGGCTTCTATTTCGTATATTGTATAAGTACAAATAGGGATATGACAAAATCTCGAATTATCGTGGATACCTTACCTTTCCTTAAGAAGATTAAGAGTGCTGCGCTTCAGGACAAACAGAACAAAAATAAAAATCCCGATGCAAGAATCACAGTACTGACATATCATTATTAGATAGTTCCAATGAGCCAAGAATGAAGTAAAGCGAAGACTCCACTGTATGTCCATGACAATGAAGAGACTTGCAAACATTCTAAACCTGTGATCGGATTGTGGGAAAATTAAGTCTCATGATATTAATGTTGAACTAGATCTTACGTTTGCGTTCTAGAGTTCAGGTTCCTTGCCCTCTCGTCCTGGTCAGAGAAGTGCCTCAGTGAGAGTTTTACTCGTATAATGCTGATAGTGGTCAATATAAACAGGGTTGTATTCAGTGCTACTAGTATTACCATCAGCACAAAAATAATGTAGGTTAAATAAGACCCGAACCCTGAATATAAAGAAAATTCTTATTTTGGATTACTTGTGCAATAAAAAAAGCCTACTCTTAAAATCACAGTTTTCCCAACCAATACCGGACACCCATTGCAAATTGTTGGGATCGCCATCCCAAATCTGATCAATCAGAAAAGGTACTCCGATCAGGACAGCAGCCGATCCCCAGGCGAAGATGCTGTAGGCTCCGAAGCTATATTCAGATTCAACTCGGTTGACCGAAGAAAAGCCTCTCCACAACTGATGGCTTAATGCCAAGAGCCACGAGAATTTGGCGAATAAGAAATAGTTCAAGAAGTAACCTGCAATTTGAGGACGAAACAATAAATTTAAACCTAATAACAGTTTTTTCTTATTGTATTTAAGTACCTGTGAATATGTACCAACAATAGTTAGTTGCCATTGCTAATATGTTTCCATACTTTAAATTTATTAAAAATTTTAAACAACAAGCATACCTTGTAGGGCGCACAACTTCAAAGGAAATGGGCCATCTTCCAGCAATTGATGGAAAACATACATAAACGAAGTCATCATGTAACATATGAAGCACTTTCCATGCAAATTCCTGAGCTTTTTTAAGTAGAAATACACTGCGATTGTGAGAACCAAGAAAAATTCTGAAAGACAAATGACTGCAGATTTATTAGGAAATGATAAGAGGACGAGAAGTACTTCAAGTGGCCATATAGTAACTATTCTTACCCACTTTATATCCTGGTATCATTAATGGTGGCTCTTCAAAATACAAACTACGATGGAAGGCAGCCACAAAGGACTCTGTATTGACTGAAGTAAACTGATTCGGATGGAGACAGTCATATCCCCTAAAATTGACCGTGTCCGTACTATAAAACAGTACACTCCCGTTCTAAAGATATTAAGTTAGTTAAAGAAGCACAGAATAGAAAGAAGGACTAACCTCGTTTAATGTGTACTTATCTCTTCTCCAAGAATCAAACAACCGCGTTCGATCTCTCAACACGATAAAATCCTTTAACAAGTTCCTTTTCACCACTGATCCATTGATGAGTGACACTTTAAGGAACACTATTAAGAACCATCAGTGCATTTGCCATTGGACACATCCCAATCTTTATAGCGACAGCAGATCCATATGCAAGGTTTTAGGTGGCAAATACATCCTCGTAGGTGGCTTCTTACTCCTAGTCTTAGTCTCTTCTCCGTTGTTATATAATCATATTGGCCAGTCAAGTGGACTGGAATTTTGAGGTCCTGGTATAGATATGAGCCATTTTGTAGCCTCTGACTAGACGTTATATTCACAGTTTCTAGGAAGTGGCATCCGGGAATATCCGCTTTTGCTGTTTGCAGGATAATAAGAACCAAAAAGGCACCGAAAAATATAGACTGATCCTGCATTTTGCTTCAAAACACAACCGACTGTTACAGTTTCTCGACTAATTCAAAAACTGCTTGGTGTTCGAGTATATATACGTTTTCCGAAAGCGACTTTTTTAAAAAACAACTAAATTTGAATTCAATTTATATGTCATATTGCTTTTTATCGATGAAAAATATTTGATTTATTAGTTGGGTTTCAAGGCGAGTCAGCTTGCATTTATCGGATAACCCATAAGGGACTTACTCGATAAGCAATTTATTTACTCCAGAGGAAAATATATTATAGAGGTCTTCACGTTTTAAAACTTACACATTTCAATGTGGGAAATATTAAGTATATATATTACATCACTTAATATCAAAGTATTGCCGATGGTTATTTTATTTTTTAGAAAAGTAAGAATGTTTAAAATCAAGTTTAAGATAACGTTGCCCCGAAGTATTTAAACAACGTGATGTTGAAGCCAATGCTGTACTGGTTAATTTTCAACAAGTGAAAAATATAAAGTATACATATACGCAATGGTTATTCCTTCATTTCCAGCTCTGCCATGTATTCCAGCTTGATGTGGTCATTGTGTAGAAGCCTAGAGGTAATACGGTAGTATCCGGGTATAAGGAGCTTCTTCAACAGGTGCACGTCCATTGGATAGTCCTCCAGCTGATAGTGCTCCGGAGGCAGGGGACAGGTGTTAGGGTGCGGGGCATTCGAGTACTCCTTGAGCTCGTTGTACAAGAACTCCTTATAGTAGGTCTTCATGACGTCGCAAACTCCCAGATCGGGCAAGTCCAGGATTTCTTCGTACTCCTCATCATGTCCGTCAGCTCGTGAGATGGTAAAGTGTATCTATAAAAAGATAGGATATGGTTAATAATTGTCATATCCTTTATTTGCTATCTCTTACCGTCCAGTCGTTGTCGATGGTTACATGTTGTTTCAGATCTCCGCTTACTTTCAGCACACCCTCTTCAAACTCGGCGATCCGCAGATGGCTTTGCAGGTCCTCTTTTTTCTCGACCACCTTCTCCAGCTTGTACAGCCTCAGTGTTCTTTTCGCTCCAACCTCGTTAGGATTAATGAAAAGGAGGACTGTTGCCAGCACCAACAGGTACCCAAACGAAGGGGAAGCCATTTCTGATTCTAGCACACCGACTGTTGCGGCTTTATAAGGCTCGCTAGCGGAGATTGTCAGCAGATCAAATTGCCGCTTGTTCCGGAAATGCAATTAATCGGGGGTGTCCCCGGATATGGTGTAAATGATATCTAAATGCCATTAATTTTGGTTTGTTTTATTCAATTATTGCATGGCAGTCTTAACACATTAAGCAACAACAAGCAGATGCTCACCAATTGGTAAATAATTAAAGTTAATTGCTAACAGCACGGCAATGACGACGAAGTACGATCGAGCGAAACTTAAACCTTCATGCCCTAAAAATGATATATTACGATGAGTCCATGCACAGTTCTATAGGGACATATTTTAACTTATTTAAACATTTTGTTTCGACCTGTTTTACAATTTATAAACTTAACAAATTTCAAGCTAAATTGATGTATAAAAGCAAGCGGTTTTTATTTCTACACTCAATGAACATTCGACGGATTTTGATACAAGTACTTTAGTCTTACATAATATATATGCCTATAATCCTTTAGCGAACAATCTCATTAAATAATTTTGGGCATGAAAGTCTGAAATGCCGGCCACGTATATCTATAAGTAATTCGCAACAATAAAAGCATAAAAGTTAACAACTTGAACTGGCTAAAGCTAAGCTATGTGTTGTAGTGAACAAATTGCAGCTGGAATGTTACCATTGCTCAAAGGGAATCTGTCAGCCAGCCATGGGAGAGAATTATTGCCTAATCAGGGACTCCGCCGTCATCCCGACTATCTTGCTTCGTAGCCAAAGTTGAGTCGCAGCTGCTCGAGGAACACGAACGTGATGATCGTGTGGGGTCCCAGACGCACGAAGGCCGGAACATAGCCCTTGAAGAAGCCAAGAGGGCCCAACTTCGCCGTGTGCTTGACCACATCCCACAGGCCATTGTACTCTCCAGGCTTGGCGTTCATCGATCGGGTCTTCAGCACGTCCAGCGGCTGGGTCATTGTGGTGGCTATCGTACCGGCCACCAGTGAGGCAGTAAAGTGCGTCACCAGGTTATCCTTAAAATAGGGCGTGGACAGCAGATAGACCTTTGTCTGGTCGTAGAAGGCGATCTGGCCGATGGTCATCATGATGCCACGGGCCGTTGCAGTAGTGGCGCCAGAGAAGAGTCGCGTAAATCCCTCTTGTTGATATACTTTTATTAGGCCGTCCAAGGCGTGCTTGTAGCTGTAAAGAGAGAAGCGGAGGATTAGTTAGGTTGATTCATATCTTTAGATTATTTAATATGTTTGATAGGGAGACCTACTTGCGACGCTGCTCCACGGGCAGCTTGACGTCATTCTGCATGCGCACGTTGACCATGTCCGCCGGAGTGCCCACGATTCCGCCAAAGAGTCCGGATAGTCCTGCTAGGCCCACCTTGCCGACAAAGGAGTCCGTGTTAATGTGCTCCTTGCCCACCTCGTAGACGCCGAAGCGGGTGGTGGAGTATGTCATCTGGCGAAGCATCGAGGCGGAGAGGCCATTGTAGAAAGCAAGCACTCCCTGTTCCCGGGCGATCTTCGGGAGGAGCTGCAACACCGACAGCTTGCCCTGTTGCGTCTGCAGTGTGACCTTGATGAGGTCCAGGGGATGGGTGACCATGGCAGCGCCTACGCTGGCCAACCCGCCAAAGTACCACCTCGATTTCCGGTCCTGTTTGCTCATCTTGGCTCTTAACTCTTACCTGTAAGATGGTGGAAATAAATCGTTAATAAACCAATTAGTTGGAAACTCTTCTTTTACCTAAGTATGTGTATAAAAAAGGTGGTTCAGCGTTAAGGAAGAGGCGGCATTTTCAGTGGGCGGCGAAGTGTTATGTCATAGCGGTGGAATGATAAGGAACTGAATTAAAGGACGCATCGGAAACAGCTGAGAGTTTGCGCGAAAGCTTAGCTCAACAAGCTTTTTGACTGTTACATGAAAGGTAGCTGTTATCTTGGGAGTAGTTTCGCAAATTTTTTAGGGGTTTTGTTTTGGAAAAGTTGTAAAAATTGTTTTTTAAATTAATATTCCATATGCTACTTTTCCTATATGTGAAAAGAACAAAAACAACCTGATATGCACACTACATTTTTAAGTAAATCTAGAAAGTAAAGGTATCTTTAAATCTACTGGACCACAGTTTTGAAATTTGGAACATAACTTCTTTAACTAATTTTGGAGGTACTCCGTCGGCCTTTTTTTAATTTTTATTTTTTTTTATTTATTTTATTTACCAAAGTAAATTAATTTTTTAGTTAAAATTAGGGATTTTGGCTTCCAATTTTATAAAATATAGGGAAACAATTATAAAATAATAACACCACGTGAGTGTCTCGAATGCATTAAATGTTTTTTTAATCGGATGATTCTGCAGGCAGTTAAGAATGTACACAGCTAACCAACTTTTTTTTTAATGGGGATACAGGGAAAGCCCTATAACTCTTAAACCTCTAAATATTATTTAATACAAAATTAAACAAAAAATAGTTCTAATGTTGTGTTATTTTATGGCATTTAATTCCTTAAGCTAGCTTTAGCCGTTTCGCCGCAAAAATTTTTTGAAAAGTGGTCCGTTTTGCACCGAATTAACCAAAACCAAAGCTCGGCGTGCGCCTAACAGCACTTTTTAGCGTGCTGGAAGCTCGCCCAAACAGCTGTTCAAGCGATTTTTTGGTCACACTAGCACCAACATGTTTTTCATTTTATGTCAAAATTTTATATTTGTTTCGTAAACTATACCAATAAAGTGGAAAAGTGCCTGCCTGTGAAAAGCTTCTGAGATCCACATATCCGAGTGAGTAATTGGCGCGATAATTCAAAGCCCGCGAGCTTGCGCAACAAGTCGCCAACATTGTTGCCGGCCAGCGTCTCTTCCTGCGATCTGCGATTTTTTTTGCAAGGCGTCTCTCGTTTCTGTTTACATGTAGCTTTCCGCATTTTGTATTTGTTTATAATGGTCAGCGGATTGGTTTTTAAATTGTGCATGAGATAACCATCGAGGAATTTGGGCCATCGGAATAACAACAACAATTGGAGAGCCAGAGCTGCAAAAGTTTAGCTATCTGTTTTGTATACCCTTTGTTTGTGGGAGAGATTACCGACTAGTTCGTGCGATTTGTAATCATTGTTTGCTTCCCTTGTTTTACGTGATTTCTTATAAAAATACTCTTGGAAAAACACATAAAGAATCTTAACTTTTAAAAATTTTAACTTGGATTTTTTATAAAACCCACTATTTCTTAGCAAAATAAATTTAAATAGTTTTAAAAATGGATTCATAGTTAAATTCTTCATGTGACCTATTTTTCTAATTTTTTATTTGTATTTACTTATAACATAAAAAAAAAAAAAATAATTAAATTCTCAATGGCTTTATCTCTTTATTAAATCAGAAATCACAATTTAGGAACTTCTAGGGATTTATCATTCTAATTCCCAAATAGGCTCGGCGAATTTATATTATTTGTTATTGAAGTAACTAAAGTGCTAAGATAATAAATCTTTTTCTCAAGGCAAGTCAAGTCAATTGTTAATATACTATAATAATAAAAAATTTGAAAAGAGTAGCTAGGAAATTTGACATTTTTAGTGCGATATTAGGAATAATGCCCGCATTCAAGAAAGATGGATTTATTCTTTCAAATTCTATCCAACATTCAACTAAAAATTTCATGAAATTCAAGGATAAGCCTAAATGCTTTTTATATGGTTTTCCTTAGTATCGAATCAATAACAAATTGCTCTGCGGACTCGGTTTTACAGCCAAATTCAAGGGCTTATGTGCTCCAGTAGTAATTGTATCGATATCGGTCGAATGACTTAATATAAAGATTGTTTTGTACACCAGAGACCCGGGGTAAAAAAATCTTTATGGGGGTGGCTGTTCTCCCGTCCTTATCAACTTTGGACCCGGTTACCGGGTCGTATTTATAGATAGATAACATGTTTACCATCGATTCGAAATCCCGGTACACAACATTATTGCTAGCATGTGTTTTCCGTTTCTGTTTTTCTGGCCCGCCCGCGTTTATTTATTCAATTACTATTTTTGTTTGGGAACCGCCACGTGCGTCTATTGCTTCATAAATTATATGCAGAAGCAAGGCAGAAGATTTCTGCCAAACAGTTCTCTTTTTGTTTTGTTTTATTCTCGTTTTTTTTCTGCTTTAATTTTATCTGAATTTAAAAATGAGTGGCCGGTGGTCAAAGTCGAATTAATAACGAATATCACATGATCAGCTGCCATATAAAAAGTTGTTTTCCTTTCATAATCGAGCCCCCCAAAAAAAAAGAGCAAAGCTGATAATGGATTTTACCACTTATAAACAGCTGATTTCTGGGTAGATTTTATATGATTCGGGGTGATCAGAAAACATTCAAGGCTTAGCAGAGACACATCGCGTGATAATTGACTGATCCGTCTCGTCCGACGACACATTATCTCTCGACTTTCTGTGTGTTTGCCCATTTTGAAGCCGCATGTTTGCCTTGCAAATTGAATAATAAACTGACACTGCAATTGCAATTGCTAAACTGCAATTGAATCAAAAAAGGCGGTGGCGGAGAGTGACAGAGGAGGAGCGGCCACAGCTGATGGCATATTTACCTTGAACGAGAAACGGTGTCGCTGGTTTTCCTGGTGCTTTTCGGTTGTCTGATTTCCGCGAAGAAAACTATTTAATAAGTTTATAATTTTTTTCGGCACACCGGGAGAGAGCGCGAGAGACGGGCACAGAGAACAAGAGACCTCAGCACGTCATCGTCATCGCTGTCCACACAAACTGGTCTCGTCTGGGCTTTGGGAATGGAGAAGGGGTTTGGTCAGGGGCAGCTGCTGCTGCTGGAGGCGAACGAAACGCAAAGCTTGAGCACCGAAAGCGGACTGATCGCCGCCGTCGACAGCGCGCCAGATCCCACACAACTCACAACTGCCGGCAGTCGACCCTACACTCGACAACAAATCGGGTGAAAATAAAGGGTGAAAATTGCAACATTAATTAGAAATGTTTTAAATTTTATAAACAGACAAGTTTTTTGTGTAGAAATTATTTAAGATAGATGTAGATATATATAGATATAGATTATTTGATAGAGATATAGAGATAGTAGAATTATTAACATTAATTCATTCACATGATTTACATAAAATTTAAAGAAATATTTTAATTTTAATTTAATAAAAAAAAAAATTATTAAACTATGTATGTAGATACAGACATTTTAAAAAAGAAATTATTAAAATTTTAATTCAATTCTATGTTAATTTTTCTATTTTTCTAAAAGAACTAAGTTCAATGTATATTTTCGTTAAATTTTACAAAATTATTTTAAGATTTGTTTAATATTTTCTTCTTTTGTTACAAAATTAAAGGACATAGATAACTAGTTTTCTTACATTTTTAAAGACAATTTAGGCATTACCTTTAACTTTGTTTATAATCAAAACTTATTTGAAGTAATTCGTGGACTTTCCAATTTCTTTGAGTGTTCATATGCGCTCTGGATTTGACTCACGGGTCCCTTTTTATCGCCCGGTCAAGGCGGTCATGTCGGAAGTGCTCTGCTGCCGGCACTGGGTGCTGGGTCTGGAACTGGGACTGGGACAGTGACGGTGACGGTGACTGTGCCTGGGATTGGCTTATGTGGAATCGGGATCGGTTTAGTTAGTTGCTGGTCGGCGGTCAACAGAGCGACACTGTGAGAGAGCGGCGAGAGAGAAAGTGAGAGAACGGGAGAGTGATCTAAGAGAGTCGATTAAACAACAAACAACAAACCAACCGGTGAGAGTTTTTTATTGAAACCGCTCTCCGAGCTGTGTGGGTGTGTGTGTGTTTAGAAGATACCTTCACAAGAACTCATAATACATGGAATACGGTGTAATTGCAGACTTTGTAGAATACCCATTCACCTATCTCACTTTCCATTGACCGTTATAATTCTCCCAGTGCCATGACCACGGTTTTCCATGCCAAAACATTTATGTAATTGCATGAAAATCCGGACATGTGCCGACCCAAAATAATTTCAAGGCAAAGGGCATTAATCACGGCACTCTATATTTCCCTCTAATTAATGACATTTCCATCGAACGCTTTTATTCCCCTAATTAGTTGGTAGTTTCTAAGCTCGATTTCTTCACCAACCGAGCGTGTAATGCACTTTGAAGTCAAGGTTTAATTAGAATGTTTTTGTTTGCCTGCACTGCAAATACTTTACCAGCGGAAAATCTGCTGCGAAGCCCAGATATGGGGAATAATGGGGGATAATGCCGTGATAAGAACTCACAGCCACCTTATCGCGAAAATGATGGGGCAAATATTGCACCGGCTATTATTAACAGCATGCTTAAAACTAATTTAAATATTTTCGAGCACGTTGCTAGTCCATGTCCCTCCATTAACACCTTTTAGCAACTCTAGATAAAGTGTTAAATTTTGATTAAATACAATACAATGGAACTGTGGTGTTGCAGCGGAACAAACGAGGTTCTGAGTGCTTCAAAAATAACCCCCAGAAGCTCTGATAGAAAGCTTTCGTCTCAGAATAGGGGATTCCCAAAAGCTTTGCGGCTCAAGTGGGCCTTTGCCGACGCCTAACACATCGGCCCATTAGCTCAGCTGGTTAGAGCGTCGTGCTAATAACGCGAAGGTCGCGGGTTCGATCCCCTCATGGGCCAGAAATAAGTTTTTGTTTATTTTTTTTTTAAACTTATAATTTAAGCCAATTAAAGAGAAAATGCAAAAATATTCTCTGTCTATAAAGATGAGAGCGAAGACCTGAGTTCTACACAAATAAATTGGTTCTTTCAGTGATTTTTGTATTTATGTTTGGCTCTTTATTAATTTCCCATGATTAATTACGGCGTGGGCAAAGCGTAGTTAATACTCTTTGTTTTCAAAGACACGTATGCCGCTGACAGCAATGATGAAGTGACAAGATGGAAATTCCCTTCTTAGTTATTTCCCCTACCTAATTTGGGCTAATAAATTTCAAGTTGTTGGCCCCGGTCAAGTCGAGTGTTTTTAACCTCTTCGACTTGGCTGGCCACGTGACCCGCCGCAAAAAGAAGACCAAAAAATAAAAAAATAAACGGAATACTGCGCACTTAATTAATTGAACTCCGCAGATGACATTTACAAATTGACCCAAGGCTGTTTTTTTTTCTGCGTCATTATAGATCCCCTAGCGCAGTTGAAACAATGGCCACCTCAGTGCTGCTAGCCTGTGGCCTCAATGAGCAGAAGTTACCGGGATTCGTGCACATCAGCGAGGAGTCCAATGTAGACGGCAGCTTCCTGATTAGCTGCATCCTGGGTCAGAGGCTGCGCATATCCAACGCGGGGACCCTGATAGTCTGCCTGCAGCACCACTACCAGCACTATTTCAATGCCGGCATGAGGCTGGGCTACAACACCAATATTTTCCAAGGCAAGACCCTCGGCGTAATCGATGTTCTAAGCGACATGGCCGGCGAGGGATTGACCTCCAAGTGGTTACGCCGACCCGATGGCCAGACATTGACCGAGCAGCTGGTGGAGGATATTCGTGTCCAGGTGGAGAGCAACTACTCCAGCCGGAATAGCTATACTGTGCTGATCGACAACCTCTCCATACTGTTCAATCTGGGAGCCACGAAACTGCAGGTCCAGCAGTTCTGCCAGGATCTAGCCGCCCTCGCCAAGGAGCGCGACAATCTGACGGTCATCACTAAACTCAGCAACAGCGACATCTACCAGCTGACGGACAATAACGTGGCCAAGCTGGGCCAGGTGCGAATCCAGGTGTTGCGGTTAAAGAGCGGCGTGTTTCGGGAGGTGGACGGCAAGCTGCTGATCGAGCGGGTTCTGGACGAGGGTAACTATGCCTGCGAGGAGACGCGCAAGGAGGTGCTCTACAAGGTCAACGATCGCAACGTCAAGGTCTTTACGCCAGGCGAAATCGGGGTCAAGGTCTAGAATAGGGTTCGCGTCTGAATTATTTTATGAATTTTAAATAAAGCCATTTTTTGTATATTCTGAGAATTGTCAGCCAAAGGTTTCTTTGTATTCTTGTGAAGTTTCATGGCGCTTCTTACCAACTCACCTCTTGATTTTTTGGTTTCTTGGTATTTTATGGCAGAGATTTAATATGAGCTAATTAGCATTTCAGGTACGTGTCAAAGGCAAGCTTTTTAGGGAATTATTGGAAAGTGAAATGAGCTAAGCCAAGTATGAGAGCGTAGACCAATATTAAATTAAGAATGAAAATCTCTGATGCCTCAAATTTCACAAAAGTTTAATGGATATAATGCTTTAATTGTAACCAAGTGGTCATACTCCCTCGATGGCCATTGCGACGTTCAATCTAATTGCTTTTTTTCGTATTTTATCTGCTCGCATCTGTTGACGTCACTGGCGATGGCGAAATAATGATGAATTTATGTCTGGTCACGATCAATAAGGAGCCAGTACAAGCGACTTGGAGGCGGTAACCCGAGTCAGCGACAGAAAAGTTTGGCCGCAACTCGGATAAGTCGTAGGCCCACATAAACGCCAAATGACGCCGTCGACAATAAAAGAAGGCAATTGAATTTTACCAAACCACGCAGCAGAAAGTTGATTAACAACGCTTGGGTCTGGGTCTCTGCCAAAAATGTGCTTCGGTTGCAGAACTTTGTTTTTATTTTGTTTTGGGTCCACTTCGGGGAAGGATTTATTTATATCTGTTTTTTTCCTGAATGAGATTGAGTTTGGCCAGGACCTTGAAAACGGCTTTCCAGTTTGTTAATTACTAGAAATACTTTGTGACAGACTTTGATGGAGATTTTCCGCAGGAAATTTGATATTTTCTGTGGTTTGCGAGACGATGAGTTAATGTCTGGACTTGAAAAATGTTGATTTTATTTAAATGCCAGTAATTTCCAGCATCACATTCCCAGACACTTGTGGCAAGTGTTTATTGTCGCCCCGCCCGCTCACCCCGGGTGCCACAAATTTGTTTTCACTCATTTAGCATTCGCCTCGCAAACTGTCGCCGGAGTAAGCCGGGCGTAAATCGGGAATTGCATTTAGCGGTGGCACACGAACGCCGAGATATGGCCCCCTAAACAAACCCAGCAGATGACTTAATTAATTACGCAAATGCTTTTTGTTCACCCGAGCGCTAAATGTCACTTATTGAAAGTTATCGCGATGCGGAGCGCCGTCGGGACATTGGAGTCAATCGCAGGATATGCTTTAAAATTCAAGATTGTCGGGGTGAACGTGAGAGCGAATTCGAAGAGTAAAAACACCCGACGAAGCGGAAGTTAAGCAATATATACACTGAGCTATAAAGGTTTTCTTACAAACTTATAGAAAGAAAATAAATATTTTAGGGTTTATAAACACTAAAACAGATACAAAAATACTTTAAGACTTGATATACTTGTATATAAACTTTTTTCCATATTTTCCTACTGGAACGATTTTTTCCGGGTGCAGGATAAGGGGTGAACGAGGGGGGCAAATCCAATTGCCAGTTTGTCCTTCGCCGCATCGACGGGAGCAGCTAAAGGGAAGATGAACTGAAAGTAATGATGGGCAACAAAAAAAGAAAAGAAAGCCGTATTCTCGCATGAAGTACGAAAGGATGTTACATTGTGAGTGCTTAGGACACGCCCCTTTTACGAACATGTCCCCTGTTAATGACAGTGCCGCATACGAGTTTTGTTGCATACTTTCGGGCCAGCGCCGGAAATGAGGATTTGGGAAATACACTCACAGTTCGTTATGTGCAGCATTCTGTCGAGATCACATACATATGTATGTGTAGGTATGTATTATTTGGGGCATCGCCATTGATGACAAAAGCGAGAACGCAAAAAAGGGCAAAAATTGCGCGCAAGCCATAATTTATTCACATAGGAGCATCATAA